AAGATTACACAAGCATTACATTATACAAAGATGTGGCGAGGGGACCTCAGAAAACCACAAGGCTTGTACGAGGAGGCCCCCTCGTTACAATAATATTAAGCAATAGAACTATAACAACACACAACAACGGACAGTACAAGACGCATTATCGATATAGTAGAAAATCAAAAACTTTCGTTTTAAACGATTGCAATGTAAAAATCGAAGTGACTGAGTTTGGTAAAGAATTCCAAATTTTAGGGCCTTGGAACAAAATAGAAAATTGTTTGGTGTTAGTTCGGCAGGCATGAGAACGGAAATGCGAGGAACTTCTAGTATTATAATTATGAATATTGCTACTAGTAACAAAAAGGTTCGAAAAAAGCGGTGGCAGTAATTGATGATAATATGAAAACATAAATTGTGCAGTATAGAATGAATTAATGTTGTATATGTCCAAAATCTTTAAACGGAAAAATAATGGTTCAGAGTGCGCGCGAAAATCTGCATTTGTAATAATTCGTACTGCTCGCTTTTGTAGAAGAAAAATTCTATTAAGGTTTGTTACATAAGTGGAGGACCAAACTGTGGTACAATATGTTAAATAAGGATAAATTAAGGTATAATAAAGAGACTTTTTTGTTGTTTCGCTTTACCCCGGTGAACATCTGCCCACAGGGCTCCACTGTAATTTATAATTGTTTATTTTGATATTATTGCGTTATTCGAATCAATTAATTCGTTCAAATACTTCAATAACGGTTTCAAAGAAGTCGTAAAAGCACCTTTAGTTTGCAGATGTAGCAAAATGATCCCTTTAAGATGCGTTCTTTTCTAGTTTCAACCTTAACAAAATCGTACCTGACCGTACTTAGCTGAAACATAATTATTCAACAGTTATGGATACTGAGAAAAAATTCTCGTTAAATTAGAAACAAGCTTTGTCTCTGAAATTAATCGTATTAGATATTTTCAGTTTTTCGAGAACATTTTGGTACTTTTTTGTAGGTTTGAAAAACTACTCAGTTTAAGAATTAAATAAGTGAGAAAAATAAGAAAGGATAATGGGTGACGAGAACTCTTCTAGTTTCGATACAACGGGAGAAGCCTTTGTTTTCGCTTAGCTTTGGTTAATAGGCTCGAAAGCAACATGTGTTTTATTGCTTTGACTGGAAAGGCAAACAAAATAACTTGAATACTAGCGTCTTTAATTCAGATTTCAAACCAGCGACCCGGAAGTAAATATCAGTTGAATAACATTTTCCTGACAGATCCGGAGGGAGATATTAAACTCATATATTACTTCGCTGTTTGCTTAGGTTCGACAACTACTTCCTTTGTTCGGATCAGTTTGGGAATTAATTGAAATTGCAAAAGCTCGATTTTCCCACAACGAAAACCGTGTTTTAGATTCATGGCTCTGCTACATGTAGCCGCGGTTTACAAAGTTGAAACCAGAGGTATCAAAATACATTATTTCCAGAACTCCAACACGATATCCAATTTGATACTGAGTTCTTAAATACTCACAAGTCAAAAAAAAATTCAAAACCATCACTTAAGTTGTTATCTACTTTCAGAGTTCGTACTAGTTGCTGCTTTGGCCAATCATTTTTATTGTCAAAGGCTCTTATTTCTGATAAGTCACTATAAGCATCAAGGAGTAATCTAAGAATCTTTCTGTATGGAGCAGAAGTTTTTTCTACTGATTTCCCGTTAGTGACAGTTCGTGTTTAGGGTAATCGGAGGGTCATTATAGCTTCAATGTTTACTCCAGCCAACGCCAGTATGAAACAAAGGAAGTTTCGTTTTTACCTTTACAAAAGATGGAGATGTCATTTTACTATAAAAATTTAGGGCATAGCTTAATTAACTGATTAAAAGGTTTTACCAGACTGACACGTTTTAAAAGACCTGTCGGATGCACTAGAACTGTAATATACCCGCGTATAAAAGACGGATGCTTTTTAGGCTAGGAGAAATCTTCTTGCCATTTCCAGCGCTTCTTAATTAGAGCGATGAGAATTGAAACAACCGTGGCCACGCTACCCTTATGGTTAACAGGAAGTATCTGACCAAGACAAAAAGCAGAGGAGAGTTCTTATTCACGTGGTTAATAAAGAAAAAAACATTCTTCTTCACTTTAAAAACGGGATAAAAGCAAACGTGATAAATTATGGAAATTTTGTCATGTAGACATAATCCCTCTTGTTTACCCTGAACATGATACTTTACTACATCTCTTTGCTACTATATCGGAGGGTCCTCGATAGGTTTTTCGGGATCCGGGATTCGGAATTTAAAAGCAAAATAGGGACGAGATTCGGGATTGAAATTATGTTTGGGAGAGGGATGCCAAAAATAACCCTCGGGATTACGGGACTGCACAAAATTTTGGGTCGGGATTACGGGATTGAAGAACCCTATTGGGGACCCTCATATCGGTACAGTCTTCGCCTTAGCCGTTGTGACGTCCTTAAAAAAACGTGTTGTTTTGCTGCCAATTTGAGCCCATTCTACAACCGTGGTTACCCTGTGTGGTCCCCGTTTATATGAAGAAGACTTGTCCCGGGTGGAAGAGTCATTCGCCTACCCGATCCACTCTCGGACAGGAGAACCAACGTTTCCTACAATTCCTTACAAAACTTGGCGAGCCGTTTACATGAGAACCAAAAAGTTGTTTCAGCTAGAAGGATGACCCGCCTAGCCAGGTCACGGCTTTTTCGTTGGTAGGGTCACCCTTTTAGCCAGGCCAATTTTTTTCTATGCAAATTCTTTGGCGCGCCCAGCCTGGTCATCTTGGAAAGAGACAATAGGGCTATTTATACGAGGAAAAATTAGACGCGTCTTATATAAGACGCGCCTTAAATAAGACGCGAACTTTCCGTATAAACGGCACGTTTCGTCTAAAATAAGACGCGACATAGCTAAGACGCGTCTTATTTTAGAACAGCCCTTAACACCTGTTCTTAGATAAGACGCGTCTTGGCTAAGACGAGAAAAACGTCGTTTAAATGACGTTCGCGTCTTACATAAGACGCGAACGCATAGTACGCATGCGTTAATTTTTGACGCGCTACGTTGGATTGCCGTTGTTACGGGAAACATTCACAAGAAAACGAGTCAAGAACAGAAATAAGACGCCAACCATTTATACGAGCTGTTCTCGTCTTAGATAAGACATGCTCGTATAAATGGTACAGTTCGCGTCTTATTTAAGACGCGTCTTATGTAAGACGCGTCTTATTTTTCCTCGTATAAATGGCCCTAATGTGTCGGACTGCAGCACAAGTTTTAGTTTCGACAAGTCATGCGCTTAAAACATGGTTCAGGTTATCCAGGGTAAAATTATCATAGAAATGATCTGACGGCTGAACAAAAATGACTTTGAGTTAGCTCGAGGTGCGAGTATGAAGTGTTCGAGTTACCGAGGGTAAAATCACAGTAAATGTATGGAGGAAATCTAATGGGAAACCGATTTTGGTTTGAGTTAGCGCGAGGTTGGAGTTAGAGAGAGTTCGAGTTATCGAGAGTCAACTGTATTTCTCCATATAAACGGGGCTTAAGGTGACCCAGCTTGAGGGCAACCTGCTGCTTCTTTTTCCTGGTCGTTAATGGTAAACAAAACCGCAATAAACATTTGTCACCTTTATTTTCTCTTCCCAATGATTCTTCGGCATTTACCGACATGATCAGTCTACAGTAAATTTCTTCACTTTACCACCTGCGTAAAGCTTGAGGGAACACAGGTAACTACAATTTGATCCAATATTTTTTTAAGCTCTGTCCGAACAATGAGTGGCTCTTTAGCAATATTTCATATATTTGATCATCGATAACTTCTAATTTTTACCACCGAATTTGTGTTTACAGTAGATGAGCCTACTTGATCACCGCAATTAAAGATCTTTGTCATGTTTGATTGCTGTGATCTGGTTGCCTCGACTACTATTTGCAATCTTCTCAGACTAGCTGTTATCTTTGGAATTAATGTTTATAATGTGTCTACCTCTCTGCTACCAGCTTGTATGAAGACTTCATGAGATTAAATCTATGAAATAAAAGTCCTTTTCGCATATTTTTGACTATTTTCCCATTCAAAATTCGCTACACATTCAACTGTAAACTTATCCTCGGAGACCCAGGGGCAGTTAGTCGGGTCGATCGATCTTACAGAAAACTTTCACCCCGAACATTTTATCGTCCCTACTAACTGCCCCTGGGTCTCCGGGGATGCTGTAAACTGCATGGGTTTCATAACATTAAAAGATAGCAGAGTTAAAGATGATTTCTGGACATAAAATAAGTAATGATAATATACTTTTAGAAACGTCGCAAAGAAAATCATGAGTTTTATATTTTAATTAGCAGATGTAAAATTTCGCCCCTGTAACGAAGGGACCCTCAGAAATTATAGTTAGGTTCTTGGTATCTATATCCTGTTTCTTGTTATATATTTCAATATCCTAGAGATATAGGTATATAACGTGATAGGTATTTTTACATACTAGATAGACTAGGCTTCAGTCCTCTAAAGATAATAACTAGAGCGAATGCCGTATCACATGATATTTTTTGTTCGGTTACGGGCTACAAAAGTTATTTACATAAGCGCGTTGTCCCTATCCCCTGCGATCATATATTTTGTACCTCAAGATCATTCGCTCTAAAATCGGTGACACGAAACGGTGGAGATGGGGTGGGGGAGGGTCTAGCTGAACCACTGATTTCTGAAATGTTTGGATGAGAGTGATTTTTAATCAAGGCAAAAACAATAAATTAACAATGACGCGATATTTTACTGACAGTCTAGAAATTCTTAAACGGCTTTGAGTCATTAATCAACGAACTGGTTTAATCACGATAATTCTTCTAAGTATTTATGTGACTCTGAATTACGTTAAGAGAATGAAGGTACTCTGGTGAGTAAACCATACTCGCTGGCTTTTGAGAGTTTTTTTTTGTCACGAATAACACAACAGACAAACCTGAAAACTTCTGCTTGGCTTTTTCAAGTTTTTGTTCGCTTCTTTCCTCGCCGTCTCTGATCAAAGACTTTGTTATGAACTAATGTTGTAATTTTAGAGAGACCAAGGCACTGTTAGTAAATTTCCCTCCGGTTACAAGCAATTTTTGTTTGCTTGATGACGCTATCACTTTAAGAGAAGCCTCTTTGAACTCAGCTAGTTTGTCCCTGGTTACAAACAGCTTTTCTCCTTCATTACTTTATCTTAGTAGCGCTTATGAATTCATAATGCTGAATGCTGATAGAGGTTTACACGATCCTGACATTAATTAACTTGTTATGCTCTGACGCCTGGGTGCGATCTTCGCACAGGTAACCTTATGCATCCTTATACTTTGCATCAGGGGTTTCATGCTAGTCTGAGACCACTGGCTATTAAAGGAATGGACCAAGTGGTGATATTTTCTTTACCTTAGGGGTGCACCATCAGAAGTAACAATCCCATGACCAAAAGTATATATTTAGTGAAAAAGTCAACTCTGTCTAAGTCAAACGGCGTGAAAACCAGCAGTATCTTTCATAGAGCCGGAGACGTTGTCCATGCCAGGAGCAAAAAATCGGGGCTTGAGGGAGTGTTTACCCTATAGAGATCTTCATTAAGAGTGAGTTCAGGACTGTAATCGTACTTTATAGTCCACAATACTTTTGGTCAGCAGCAAAATTGAATTTATGTCCGCTGACTATACTGACTCTGGGGGTAATCTTATCGGTGTCTAAGTGGAAGAACTGTGTTTGCGCAGAAGTATCGTTCCCCCAGTTGTAGACGCCTGGTAAACTGATTTATCCTTGATGACGTCATCTTTAGGTGGACGACAACATATACATCTGAGAATGTTTTTGAATTCGTGGTTAAATCTTTGGTTGAGGAAAATATACAAACACGGATTAATTGCGCTATTGGCATGGGACAAGAAGTAGAAACTGGTTTCCACGTGTCCAACAGCAAGAAGTGAGCGATATTCTTCGGTGAAAAAGTATGAGAGCAGATGCATTACGTGACTTGGTAGCCAACAAAGTGCAAAGGTCATCACGACGATAATGAGCATGCGCAGTACCTTGCGCTTTGACGAACGGTTTTGTCGTTTTTGTGTGGCAGTTGACTCTCCGGGAATCTCACGTGACCAGAGGCGGCGACCAATGGGAATATACAGCCCTGCTATGACGGCAAGGGGGAATAAATAAAGGACGACAAACAGGGTCACGAAATAGGCCCTGGCTATTTGGAACCTTGTGTTGCGATTTTGTGAGAGATAGCTCCACACCATTTTACAATGCCACTTACCATCAGGTTCTGGAACAGTGTCAAAGAGCACAAGATAGAGTGAAAAATACAACGACGACGATATCCAGATCACGGTTGTCACAAGTTTGGTGTTGCGAATAACCGGGACATCCGCAAACGGATGAAGAATGGCGAAGAAGCGATCCAATGAGATAAAAATAAGAGTAATGACCGTAGCAGCGATGGATAATACTCCAGCGAAATTAACGAACTTGCACGTGACGGAACCAAAACCACCAGAGAACCAGGTCTGTCCCAGGTAAAGAAATTTTACCTGAAAACGAAAGAAAATGAACTAATCCGGTGAAACTCTATTAATTTCATAGTCATTATAGCCTGAGAAAACAGCCGACATTTGGCGACGCTACCACTGGTTTCCCCGCCAAATGACGCCTGAGAAACGAGCGCTGAAATTCCATGCTGATGACGCGTCACTACTCACAAGATCTGGATAGTGCTTCTGATTGGTCGTGCAGCGTGGGAAATTTGATTCAGCCAATCAGAAGCACTACCCAGATCTGGTATTTTCTCAGGCTATAGTCATTAGGGGCACGTTCCGCTCCGGCGCGATCTTTGATGTGTGTGAACGACTTGTTTTTGTTCTGTACCCTTGCCGTTCACACTATACCGGATTACGTATTCGTGTCTGCACGAAAAGCTATCCAGTACAGTGAACGTAGCCGTTATACTATATGCGACGGACGCATGTTTTTATCAAGTACGTAACTAGTGCGCTTCACCATTTTTAAGAATAACTATCCATCAATTGATAAATATGGTGATGAAAAAAAAAAGCAATTCTAATACATCTTAAATATAATGTAATGCACTTAAGGATGGTCTACGCGAAAAGCTGATTTCGAGAAAACCACCGCCCAAGCCCGGCTTTTCTCAAGGTGTTAATTTTAATTTTTGTGAAAGTTATTATAAATGCCATTAATTCCCTTTTGTTTGTCTTGTTGTCAAAATTCCGCAAATAAGAGATTTGTTTTACAGATTTGTTGTTAATACCTCGTAATTGACGAAGAAAACGCAATTAATTGGAAAACTTGTGACATGTAGCTCTTGATTTTTAAACCCCCAAAACGCTTACCTCTGTTGGCATGATGAACAGTGAAACAAGAAAATCCCCAATAGCCATGTTTACAATCAGAAAATTGAAAGTGCTTTTCATTCTCCTTTGAGTAGCCACGATGTATATAACGCATGCGTTACCAAAGAAACCAAATACAAAGATCACAACGTAGGCCAAAGTCATCCACACAGTAACCCCCTTTTGAAGTGGGGAGAGGGTGGGGCTGGCTTGGGTTGCATTTATTAAACCTGAAAGAAAAACATATCCAAAGCTTGATTATTAAAACTAGCTTGCACTGTAAGCGATTTTCAATAGCTTACGTACCAGGCGGTTTTTTTGCGAGAAGACTACGATTAGTCCTTCACTTTCCCTCATGGATAGCAGCGCGAGCGAAACGCGAGCGCGAATGAAAATCAATCTCGTTTGAATTTCGTTAAGTAAGAGATACAGCTGCCCGAAAAGCTGATCCAAGGTTACACGTTCCCCGAAGTACTACATTATAGCTTAGAGGAAAAACTTGCGATAGTTCCAAAAAGTGAACTTCATTTGGAAGATATTGTTATAAAAAGGAGTAAAGAAAATGAAATAAATTTTAAAACATCGTTTCTTCGTTGAACCTCAGCTCGGCTTTGACACTGATTGCTTCTTCGTGTGGCTGTTTCTTTTTAGGTTCTATATTACCGATGTTTTGTGTAATTTTACGAAACACGAACGAAAAACATTCATACTGGCAATTCAGTATTCGCATAGGCGAAGGAACCAACTGCTACGCACGCGCAGGCTAGATTTACAGCTTTACGAACCGGAACGTTGTGAAGAAGAGTCAAAAAGCAGCGTTCCGAGCAGACGCTAAGAAGATGATCACGAGCAACATTCATCATGCTGGAAAGGAAATGAGGAGGCGTGGAATGCCGAGAAATCAATCATTAGTTTTGCAGTTAGTACACTTTTTGTCAGTACATGGCAGATGCATCTGGGAAAAAGTTTTAAGTAAGAAACACGTGAACTTCAGTCACATCACTTTAGTTAGTAACTGTATGAAAAATAATTTTATGGTTTTGTAAATTAAACCATTCAACGTCTCGAGAAAAAACGTAAAACAAAATCAGTATTGATTACGTGAACGATGATCAAAGAGATCTACGTCACATAGTTCAATTAAACACCACGAAATTCGCATCGCTCCTAATCGGCTTTGGCAAGAATTATTTGCCAATCTTCGCCTCGCTCGACCTGCTTTTATCTGCCATTTTTAATAAAAGTCGGAGAACGTCTACATGGCAAAATTTCAACAGAAAGCTTTTTTTCCGGTAAGATGAGAATATCCTAGAATATTAACTTGATATTGAATACAGCAAGTATGAATTGAAACAAGTTAGATAACAGGAGCAGTTGGTCGCGTGAGAGACCTATTTACATCATAACGTATCTACAACTGATATTTCTTTGTGTTTTTTCCCTTGATGGTAAAAAAGGGAAAAATCATGTGTATCAAATACATCTCTTTCTATATCTTTTTAAATTTCATTTCCGATTTCTATGAAAAAAAAAATATGTTGTGAGATAAATTTCGGTAAGCTTCAATTATTCAAAACCTGACATCTTTTTATTAATGGGTGTTCGTAAAAAAATGACAGCTTTTGTTCATTTAATTTTCATACGGTAATAAAATTAGTTATGTTTTCAGTAGCTACCAAACACTATTATGAAAAAAATCCACATTTGGAAATAGATAGGAGCTGTGCTTGTATAAATTTTTCATTTCCATTGCATTTTACCTCTTAATTTCCATCAGGAAAAATGACACGAAGAGCAAACGGAGGGGAAACTCTGTCGTCGTATGTACAATTTGATCGCCACATGACAAAAGTTTAATTTAAAATTTAAATACACTACTTACTTTTAAAGACAAAAAAGACATTTGCAAGAAAAAAAGGACTTCTTTCCAATTAAAATAAAATTTTACCAAAATTTCCCTGAAAACAAACCATGTTCTAAATCTATTTTAAATAGCCAGCAACGAAACTCTCGTTATATCTGCTTCTTTCAAGGTATTGGGCCTGAGTGATTTAAAATTCAGTAACAATAGCGAGAAAAGTCATACGGCCTTAAGCTAAGTTATAGTTAAGAGTAGGCGATGGCTTGTTCTAAATGGACGTTAAGAAATAAATTTAGGTGACACTTATGACAAAACCCATACATAAAACTACTGTAACAATAAAAGTTATGATATAAAAATTAAAATGCTATGTGTGCGTGTGGTATAAGGTTAAAGTTTCATTTCACAGTTTTATCTTTTTTCCTCTTGGGGACAGATTGGCAATTTTATTTAAGCTTGATGTTTTCGGTGGGCAGATATGTTTCATGAAGGGTCAGTTAAACTATTTTTTGTTTTAATTCGAAAAGTTTGTGTGTATAGAACTGATCCGAAGAAAAGTAAATTATTCAGTTAGAACGTTACGCACCTTCCGCAGAGGTGTTATTTGTTGCCATGCTGATTAACTTTTCACCTTCCCGTACCGCTGATCTGGTATTCTGGAATGCTTGATCAAAACTCCTGAAGTTCTCTGCTTTTTCTGAAAAAAGTACAGCAAATGATAACTTCAGCTCGTATAGCAACTGTGACAAAACCGCTTCTGAAACTCATTTGCGAGCAGTATGCGTCATGGAATAATTGTCGACAGCCCGTTTTTTAAGTCCACGCTCATCAATAATATTGGCAGCTGAGCTAACTTCAATCAGTGTTAGACGTCCACCTCTTCAGAAAAGCCTGTCAACCTCTCGAACATCGACAATATATGAACGGCTTCACTACTTGATACGCTTTTCGATACAATGGACATACGCGATCAAAATCGTAGCAATCCCGCGCTCGAACTACTTCAGTGAGTGGCTGGAGGTTGGCTTAAAGGCACATCGTCATGTCGAAATTCTGTTGAGAGCATATAAACGATGGCTTACAAGCCAGCAGACAGATTTAATAAGGCTGGAAATCAGTATTTACGAGAAGACAAGTGACTGACAAAGAACGTAATTGAGGACGAAAGTCCATCAAACAGACAATGAATTTTAATGAAGCGAACTCTTTTTCTGGAACAAAACGTTTTTTGAATAGCTTTAAAACATAATTTATTGCTGAGAAATGATAGATAAAATCAAAGTACGTCAGGGTGAACCGGCAAAACAAGTGCTAAGTTGTTGTATTTACTCGTTATGCAAGTTGAAACAAGTCATACTGACTAAAATGTCCTTTCAAGAGCCATGATAGTTTGGTTCTTTCTAGAACGGCATAAGGCATCTTCGAGGGAAGATAACTTCTTAGAGATCAAAAGGATTATCAAAGTCAGTGGATAAAGCGGGAAAAAGAAAAATTTAAAAGATGTTGCAATTATAATACTTCTTCATGTGTAAAGAGTACAAAGACTGTGGCGTTTTGAGGATGAAACGAGTAGTGTGCGCAAGATAGAAGATGGATTTCGAAAGGAAACATTACACAAGCCCAATCTGGCGTGACTGGTCTCATTGATCGCAATTTTTTGAACAGTGTTTCAAATTTTCTAGTAATTTATTATCTCCTCAGCTTGAAAATATGTAAAAGAGGAATCTTGTTATTATATTTGACGTTCATAGCTCTTGAAGTGAAAGCCAACTGTTGTCTGTGCCTCCTGCCCCCATCAGCAGTTCCAGGTGAAGTTCCTATTTCACCTCTCGTTCACGTACCGGCAACTGTAGTATTAATTTCAAAGCTAGCAACGCCATTATTTGAACGTTATTTGGGTCGCTCTCACAGGGAACCGTGGACTGGTTTCACTGGCGATTGCATGTATCGCAAACCGCTTGGATTCGGCGAATCGTTGGCTCACTGGCTATTCTTCTTGCAGGTTGATGGCTATGAGGATGAACTGCTGTGTCCAATATAGCATATTTTCATCCCCTAAAAACTTAACATCTGTTCGGATTTCCTAGCTGAAAGTCTAGTGATCCGAAAATTATAGGGATAAAAACTTACCTTCTCGAAAATTTCAGCCAGGAAAAGGCTCCCGAAAATTCTAGGTGGCCTTTCTTAGGGTCAAAATCCGTTAAAAATGGGTAATTATACCATTTTGTAGATGTTCGAAAATCCTAGGAGAGGCAGGCAAGCAATAAATTTTACAACACATGCTCCGAAAATTCTAAATCTTAAATCGTCTTCCGAACAGATATTTTCCCGAAAATTGCCGTCGGGTGCTCCTGACCTTTGTCTTAAAATCCGTCCAGTTCTTATCCCAGCCAGCGCGACTACAAATTAGGACGTCACTATCGCGGCTCGCGTGCATCGTGGAGTAACTTTGCAAAGAAACATGCCACATAAGAGACTTTCAGCAATCTATGTTCAATCCGAGTAATGTTTCTAATACAGTGAAACTGTTGTCGCGGATCCCGCTTTAAGAAGGCCAGGAAAGGTAAGTTCCCTGTGTCGGTCAGCATTGTGCGAAGACGCGAAGGTGTTTAGCGGTGATCAGTAGACAAGGGATACCTACGTCACTGCAGAAATATCAGGACCAGTTCGAGACTCACATAATCCACACCTTACGTCGCTACGGCAACTTATGGAGGTTTTCCCAAGATATCCTGATGGCAGCTAGGATTAAACAGAGTGATTAGCCTGCGAAAACAGCCATCTATCCTCGCTCCTCGTCGCTATGGACGTTTCGCAATAACCAATAACTTCCGCTAATATTTATGCTCGTACATATAATAACCTGTAGTTTTTATGTTTTCCCAATTAACATGTTGTTCAGTTCTTTTAGACAGGTCGACTATGTGTGTAGTCCCTTTTTTTCTTCCGGGATAACACAGAGCGAAATACGCGGATTCCTTTCACGCTTCGCCCCTCCTTTTAAACACTCGAGTATTTTCTCGCTCTACTAATTGACTATATATAACTATACCTTTGTCATAAAATTGGTGTCAAAACGACCCAGCGGTTTGAGGAATCTCCGCGTCAAATTCATCTACGATGCGTGAAGTATCTACTGAACGAATAGTTTTTACGACGCATCGTAGCTGTGTGGGAGCAGGTGTTAATTTCTTTCATCTCCTTTTCTAAAATTTCCGCCCGCTAACGGCTGCTCGTAATCACCAGCCACTGCCTGACTCTCTGTGTCACTGAGTAGTGTTAATTGGATAAAACGTTTCTTGTACCAGAAATAATTTTTGCCGACCACAAGCTAATTAGGTACTCATTTTGTATCAGTTTTTTTAGTATAAGGCCGTAGGCTATGTTTTGGTCGTAGTTTTGAGGTGTGTTTGTAGGACAGGGGTTCTTTTTTCCCTGGAGATCTGGAGTCGTATTGTTCGACAAAACCTCAGCACTGTACTGCAGTGTAAAAGTACCATCATAAGTCAAATTTCAATGTTTTTTTATCAAGCATAATCTGCAACCACTGACCCTTCCGCATTATTATCGTGTTTCTTTTAGAAAATATTAAATCAACCAATAAATTTTAAAATTAAACAAATGAATTTTCATCAAAATTTCATCATAGCCACAAGTTTTTCTATTTGTTGCGACTATCACCAACTCCAGAACTCTGGTCTGCTTTATCGCTAAGGGAAGCAAAGTGATGGCCGCCCACTTTAAACGTCTTCACAGCGTGCAGTCGGCGCCGCCTACGTACACTAGCGTGTCTGATCGCACTCCAAAACGGGCTCATAGAAATTTCGCTTTGAAAGCCTGTTTGACTCACATTATTTTTAACCATGAAATAAGGGAATAAACTTAGGATTTTCCTAACTCGAACTTAGACCTGATATGATAACCAAGCCATAGAATATGAAACATTTTATCTTTGCCAATGATCGACCTGTGTTTGTAATCCGCATCAAGATGATCCATTTTAAAGGGCCGCGGGGGGTTAGAGACGAGGATAGAGGTTTTAGTGGAAATCCCGGCTGGTAGCCTGTCCAGATGTTATAATTTCAGTTATATTTGAGTCAAGAAGCTTGAGAGCCATGAGTGAATTTGACCGTGACATATCGAATGTACTCAGAGGGTAAAACTTGAAAGGAAGAGTTCGGTGACGGCCCTAAATTCATTAAATTCAGTAGATCGAGAAATGGAAAAATACTTACGTAAAAATAACATAAACTGGGCTAAGATAATGGCATAAATTCGCGTTACACCAAAATAAGTGTAGATCTGTATCTGTAATGACCGAATGATGAGTTGGAGACGGGACACAGTTATATCATAACCAAGACGTTCATGAGTTGTCAGTGCTTACTCAGTTGCTTTTAGCTCTTTTATTTTCGCATTTCGATTTTAATTTACCAGAAAACTCGAACAGATTAGTTTTTAAAAACAAATCAGTGTTTTATCGCTATGCATTGAAAAAACGCATTCAAAAATGATTTGAAGCTACCAACGTAGTCGTTCCATGTCGCATGTTCCGGTACATTCCAGGAGGAATTTCGATCGAAGAAACCAAGCAAACATTGAAAATTATTTTCACGGATAAAATACTGCTAAACTGCGAAAAATAAACAATCAACAAACAGTTGTATTTACTTTCAGGTCACATACCTTATAAGCGATTGTCTGAAATAGTGAAAGATTTGGCCAAACCAGATGTCTTTCCAAATGCCAGGATTCCTCTTAGGTTTAAAAGAGAAGCACTAAAGACGCTGTCCTTCCGCCATGAACGCCTGTTACAAACATAAGCAAAACTGTCCTCTTGACGAACGTGTTGAGCCCAAAGCGTTTCTTGAAAGTGTCTGGAAGTAAAGTGGACCTGTCATTGGTTGACAAACACGTCATCTTTGCGTCACAAATATAGCAACACATTGTTAATCAGAAAATTGTTTTCCTCATTCGGCCACCTCAAAGCCTACCGAAAGCTACGAAACTCTTGCCGAGATCATGATCGCAAAAGTACTTCAACCACGTGAGGATTTTAGCCACTTTTGAAAGCGACAGGATTCGAGGTAGAAGAGGAAGCGCATCGAGGAAAATCATAACCAGATTGGTATCAGCTCCCAAGTGGAAGGTGTGGGAAGACCGATACGAACTTGTTACCGATGATCAAATTGAATGAGATGGTTTTAAATGGAAAGGACGCCAGAACGCAAAAAAGTGAACAATTAAGTGGCCAACAGTATCGTAGCTTTTATACTCTTAGCTCTCTCATGGGCGGAGAAGATTAGTCGCTGTGTAAATAAGTAAGTGCAATCAGACGATGTGCAGACTATGCGGCCTCTTTAGAGAGATCGCTGGTTTTTATCAGATAAGATCTCTGATTTGATTGCCAGGATCTATATAAAAATTCTTAAAGCTTCCTTTGTAAAAGAAGAATCAGCGAGGATAGGGATAATGCTGGACTTGTTGTGTTTGACCTCAGATAGATGCCTATCCCTATGCAGAGGCAAGGAAAAGCTAAGCCCCCCCCCCCCTCCCTCTTGGTACGATCAATGTCTCTTTTTAAAAGTTCGTGGATCAATCTGATCAATTTGTACGAACTCCTTCGTGGACAAAAGAGATTGCCCAACAGCAAGGGTATAGGGTATAAGCATTTTTCCATATTTCTTCCACAATTGTTCTTCAGGCAATCTGTGACTATAGATAGCATCTCTGTAAATAGTATTGCTCTTGTGACTACCAAACACAAGTGAAACGGCTCGACTTAATGAACTGATTGGTTGAATGATTAGATCTCTCGTACTGCGATTCTAAAGCTTACAGCGTTTTTGCCCAGGGTACGAGTCTTGTTGGTTTTGTTTTTCTTCAAGCTAGGCGAAAATTGTTTCATTTAATTTTTCTTGTGATCACAGCTACTTTAAGTTATTATATTTAAGTTACTTGAAATCTGGGCGCAAGGTACATTTAGTTTACTACCGATAAGGGAATAAGATTGAACATCAAAGAAAAAGGTTAGGAAGGTCATAATATTAGATAAGGAACAGAATCAAGGAAAATCCCTTGAGCACGATAGAGAGATTTCACTAAGATGTCACCCAAAAGTTCCATCAATCTTCAATGAAAAGTTCATTAACAATAAAAAATGTATTGTCTGGGTATTGAAAACGAAAGTAAGAGTTTCAACTTATTTGGCAACTTGTACAACAGCAGTTGTTTGCCCCCTCAGCAGCGCAGCTACAAGCCATCAAGAAGCTTGACCGACTAGGTTAAAGCAATTCTGCAGATCCCCATGGGCCAAAACTGGAACGCATAAACGCTTTGTAAGGCTGTTTTGATCGGAAAAATGCGCGTCAACTATCGAAAGAAAAGAACATAACAAGACATCTGCGACAGGTTAAAGAAAAACTATTATGAACTAATTAAAAGTTTTCTTTCAAAGTTATCTTGACGATATCGTTAATTACACTTGACGGAACTGGTTGTTGATTTTGATAAACATCTGCCTTTTTAAGATAACTTGCGAGCAATAAAAAGGAAATCGTTGGTCATTCTCCGACCTCTGTTAAGCCGCCTTGTAACCCTCAGTTCCCTCAAGGAAATAAAATATGGCGGCGGGTAGCTGAATATCCGTCATCTGACCGCTATCAAACACATAACTATGCAATTTTTTAATATCTGCAACGAGCAGGCGACGTTGTGGCTTTTCTCTCAGCTCGTGTGTTGTGTATTTTAGCGGCGTTCGCTACTAAAATAGCCGCCAATAGAAGATGCTATGTCAGGAGAAAATGAGCTCATTCTGGTATCGTCAAGAGAGGATAGAAGGGTCTTGGTATTGTCACTGATTATGGGTCATCTCAGTTTGTGATCCACAGCTTTGTCAAACAAATAATAATAATAAAAAAAACAGGTCAAGTGAGTAATTCACAGAATCGAATTAGTATCAAATATCTAAGCTCGAACCAGAAGGCAGGTAGATAGTAAAGGGACAATCCGGTCCTTCAGGAGGTCACTTGGGAGACATTAAATCATGGCGCTAACAAAGCTCCTGATGCCCGTTTGGATATTCATGCTCCAGGTTTTTGGGAGAGACAGAGATCTACATTCTTCGACGTTCGGGTGTGTCATCCTAATGAAGACTCTTACAGAGACTTGACTCCTAAGCAGATCTACAAGAAGCATGAGAACGAGAAGAAGAGTAATGGAGATCGAACAGGGAACTTTCACTCCCCTAGTTTTCACGACCACAGGTGGAATGCCAGATGAGTGTGTTAAGTACCACAGCAGACTTGCGGAGCTGATCGCAAATAAGAAGGGAGAAAGTTACCTCAAGCGCAATTTATCTTTCGCCATCGTACGCTCTGCGATACTATGCTTGAGAGGCTTAAGATCCAAAAGAAGACAGCTAGACTTTGTTGACTCAAACCTAAAGATCGATGATGTTAGAGCCTGCCCGAATTAATCTTTTAAAGGATCTTTTTTTTTTTTTTAAAGAATTAGGAATTTAGGAATACGAGATTTTACTTTTTTAAACTTGTTTTCTTTTTAATATCAGAGACGGATAATTCTCTGTTGAAATGACCTTATTTAAAACTCTGGACTGCCTGCAAGAGTCTTTGACTGCATCTGAGCCGCAAGGAGTGTATTTGCGAGATTTTTATTGTCAGAGTGATTGCTATTTTTATGATTCATATAATTCTTAATGTTATATAGTGCTTAATTCTTACTTCAAATATTTCTGTAAATTATGTACATATTTTTTTAAAGTTCAATAAAATTATTATTATTATTAAAAAATAATCCAGTAATCGTCTCATTTAATAATAAGATTTAACTGAACTGCCCTTTTACATTTGAGCAATTGTACAACCTTCCTCATGATATTTCGTTCCATTAGTGCGACGACTTACATGGTTTAAAAACGACAAATCTATCACATAGTTCATAAAAAAAATGAAGTAGACTAATTCGGTACCCTCGCGTCAAGAGTCCCTCGTCCTAGGCGTGTGTAACTTCTGTTGTCCTAGTATGCACCGAGAAAGTGTGTTGGATGGGCACCAAATGGCCACACCCAGTTTCCAATAAGTACTAAAGTCAAACTGGTGAAAATTTGTCACTAATAACTTTTTTTAAAATTAAAGATAGAAACTTTGATTAGCGTCACCCTTGGCCTTTCGGCCAATTTTAAACTCAAAGAAACCAAGATAATTAATTGAGAAGAATACTTATCTAGCTTTGAATTAACCTGCAGTAAGACCCAATCATAGCATCTTTCTTGCGTCTTTCACCAGCACCTGAATTTACTCAAATTTGAGTTTTATGATTGCATTTTCTAGAGTATAGGAAAAAGAGGCGGAATTCAGGAAAATAGAATTCGATCTCAGTTTCAACCCAACTGGAAAAATGAGTACACAAAAATTTTAGTTATTGTTGCACACCGAGCAGTTCTCAACGACTCACCAGCTTGGATAGATAACCAAGGACTATCTTTTCACGTTCAGAATAGAGAGACTTGACGTCTTGTGGCGTAAGTTGATGACAGTCTCCCGCATGCAATGTGAAAAAGAGATAACTACAAAGGTTAAATGGGTCACGATTGCGAAAGACTACACAAAAGCGTCAAAGAGTCTCTTTTGGAAACCTTAAACAATGCTAACAACCGTGAAAAGAACGCTACTGAATTTACGTTTTCTGTCATACTTGCCACTCTAAATAAATACATTCCGTTGAAAGGGCTTTTGTCTCCTTAGCAGTCAATCGTTCTTGTTGACTTTTAAAATTGATTAATTAGTAGCAGCCATAAACCAGTCCAAAAAATAGGGCGGACACGAGTGCTCCATTCATATTTTGCAGACGAGGGGTCGATTCGATAACTGATCTTAGCTTATGGTTCAAATTTGACGACAGAATTGTATTTTAAGTGCCTGCTTTTTGAGGTTTAATCCTATACGAGATCAGACTGTTGGCTGGCACAATTGTAATAAATAAGTTGATTTCCTCGAAAAGAAAGAGAGCGCCTGTCCTGTCAAGTTTCCTTCTCCAGAATTTCTATTTTGCGTTCCAATGTCATAAAACTGTCATAATCGCACTTCAATGCTCTTGGAACCGCTCTTCAGTGCTCTTGAAAATAAGCAGATGAAGCCATTAAACTTACAGTTCTAGTCAGAATTCCTTCGGCCTTTGATATCACCTTCACTATTTAGTTATCCCAAAACTACTTAATCAGTAAACCCGCGACTCTAAATGCTTTCTCTGTTGGATAAAGCAGAAGCGGTAGGGAAATTTTTCTGTACTATATATGACTGATATGTGAGACATCATAGCCCAGAATACGATGATTATACTCAATTAAGTCAAACAACAAAGATAAAAAGTGTTTAGGCCTATTGAACTGGCACCGCCAAATCAGCTGTAACCGAAAAACACAAAACAAAACAAACAAACAAAGGAAGACAAAACAGAAATTACCGACGCCAGGTATGTATCCCTTGACCTATTACTACATGAGCAAACTTAGAATTGAAAGTATTCTTTAAAAAGTAATTACAAATTCTTTCTTTAGTTAAGGCCTATTAACCTTTTAGTTCCGGCTTTGAAATTGCATTGACAAGTTTGCCGATGAAATGGCAAGCTTTGTTTTCTAGTCCTACTACATCAAAGTCACTTAAATTGACAAAGAAGAATGTACACATTAGTTAAGTTACCAACAGTGATTCAAATTTAGCATCCTGGCAATTACTTTAAAGCGAATAATTAATGGAGCAAAACTGAAAGCACTAAACCTCACGCCATCTTTGTTTGAAACAGTATGACCAGCCTAAAATTGACAGTCGAAAAACTATTAAAAGTTGTAGGTATATTTTTTAGTTTTAAGTTAAGCCATTTGTGATCATGCACAAGTGAGTATACGGGCTTATTTGCGTCGAAAACCGTTTTTTGTTCAGTTTTTTTTATTACGGCCTTTGATTTTGGCTGCAAAAAATCCTTACGACTAACGGAAATTCTCAGTTTAATTCCAGTATTAATATTCTCCTACAATCTACCTGGAATTATCATGACGGATTTTACAGATTAATGTTTGATGCGTTTATTTGCTGCGGAGTTGAGTTTAAAAAAGTTACATCATCTTTTCGGATCGAATGGGGACTTAATTACATTCCCTCTCCCCCACACCATGCAGTAGAAAAGTATTAAATTAAATTCGATTCTCAAAATAGTGTTAAGTGTATTTTTTGATAAGCTCCCGAAAGGAAAGTTATTTTGGTGCCACATATCCTAGTTTTCAAGATTTATCAGTTAATTTGGAATATTTGTAAGGCTTAGGCAATTTCCATGACCAGTCATTTGAGTCCTATTTTAACACTCAGGCAAAAATCAGGTTTAGGCTTTTAAAACAATTCTCTACTTCTGTGACTTGGATTGGCTTGCCCTTATTTTTCTTGTTCTATTCTCATTCTGCTTGGGTTTTTGCCGGCGAACATGTGATGGACCATGTTCGTTTTTATAAAGGTGAATACAGCTTTATGTCGCGTTTCTATACCTCCCAAAGAAACAGCAGTAAAGATCTAGAGTTATTCAGGTGATCTAGTTGTCGACGAAGTGATCAGCTGCGAAGTCAGCTGATTGTAGGAATCAAGAGTTGGACTAACCTAAAGACACTTGGTACCTCTTCTTCAAACCAAAAGAAAACTCAGAGAAAATAATTAATTAACCGCCTTTTCTCACCTGCGATCAGATTCTCTTGGTTAATCTATATAGACGAGAGAAGGCAAATGAGCAACCCCTAAAATCTGGCATGAATTTGCCCAAAATTTCCACCTCTTCGATCGCGAGATTAAGAATTTTCCACTGCTGCGTATTTTTTTTTGTAACTTAACGTACGTAAATAAAATTTAGAAAACTCTTCCATTTATGCACAAAATTGTGCTTTGTACGTCCTCCCTTATCTTTTTTGACGTCATACATTACCCATGTCAGACTTGGAACCGACAGGGTTAATTCCAATTGCTTTACAATGGTTGTATCCTTAAAGGAAATCATGTCGCGTTCAGATAGTAGAGCGCGGGAGAAAAATTGACGAGGAAAAAAGAAACGAGGGGAGAATGCTCCCCTCGTTTTCCCTGTTTTTCTTTGGACTAACTCGCTCCCCACCATCTGGACGCCGTGCTCTAACGCTTAGAACAGATATCTTGTGATTAACTTTCGACATACACTGTTCATTCATTTGCTATTGTTGCCACCGATTTGGTTGTAAAGTGGTTTTCCGTACACTTTAACCGTGCTGGGTCTGAAGAATTTGCCAAATCTGTAGAATCAACCTGACAATCGGCGGCTCTGGAAAAAGTGTTATAATTTAGTTCTCTTTATCAGCGCAGAGAAGGCGAACTCAAATATAAAACCTTTCAGACCCGTTCAACCCACTGTCCCCTTGTTCTTCTTTCCTTCTCTTCCCTGCTTCGTGTCTCGTTCGTTGCTAGAAACGGGAAAACAAATTCGCCAGCATGCTTTTGCTGAAAAAGCGATTTGTTGTGGAGAGGGCTTTACACAAAGAGGGTCAGAGTAAAGAAAAGTCGGTTTTAAAAGCCTTAATTACAACTTGAATTCTTGATGCCCATTCACACAGGCGCAGGCGCCCATGGGCTCCTGACAGGCGATATTATTGTGAGAATTTTAAGAACGATATTTAAGAGATTTCGTGGCGACTTTTTATAGCAATTTTCCGATCTTTATGTCGTGGTTGTCGTATCTATACAGTCATGGTAGAGTTTTGGTTGCTGCCGCTTAAGGAGAAAATTCCCAATAAGTCGCGTAGTGGAGCTCGCTCAAAACAGGGGCGACATTACGGCAAAAATGCCCGCAATCTGAAATTGCCGCAAAAATCGACCTATGCATTCGCAGTGCAACCACGGGCGTGGCATCAGCGGAGGTATGATGCGGAAACTGAAAAGTGAATAAATTCAAGGACTGGGGGACACAATTTTCAGCAAATTTCTTAGCGGCTTTTGTGGATATCGCCATACTAGTATTTTTCGTTTCTGTAAAAATTTTGACCGTATGTTTGAGAATCGACCATGGAAACAAGAATTCATACAAGCGATTCGAGCGTCACTTTCTTTAGTTTCCCTTTAAAAATGTATGTTTTCCTAAGTAGCAACAAAACTCTTGAAGGCCCTAAACTATCTTCCTGCAGATACTTATAAAATAATCAATACTACAATTTAATAATGCTCAATTACTGATGCCAACAAAGCCATATTGTACGTCGAGATTTCCTGCTGAGAGAAGAATTAGCCTCCAGCTTTGATCTGCATTGTAATTTTGTTTAAAACATTTTAACGCTTCTCTTTAAAATCAAAAAGTGTATTTCATGCAACAGGAGTATTAAAAAATAAACCTTTTTCAATTAAAATTGGAAGTGAGCATAATCTTTGTTTACGAGTCGGCCTTTTTTCTGCTGGGAAAGGCCTTGAGGGGCCGGGGATTTGATGTGAACGTTTCTAAGTGTTTTCAAAACAAACTTTACAAAAGACTGATTTTATCGGTTGAATTTGCATCAAAATGACTAGCGCAATGGTTATGATGTACTGCTCTTACTGCTTTATTGTGGACGGGAAATTTTGCTTAGAGTTTTTGATAACAAAGTCTCAAATCAGGACTGGTGTTTTTTGGTGTTGCGGATCACTGACAGAGTGAACTCTGGTTTGTTGCTTTAACGAAGTTTTCATATGTCTGATATGTGATGCACGATTAGCTCTCTAACATCAAGATAAAATCATTTTCTGCCTTTGCAGAGTCTTAACGGTGTTTAGTGTTGAAACTGAATAAAACTAAGGCTTGCCACGCCTAATAAAATTTATACGATGATCGAATTCTCAAAAAGGCAGTTGGGTCAACGATTTCAACAGCGATATTTCAGTTTACGAAAGTCTGGATTTAAACTGTATACTTTATGAAAGTACCGTTTACTGATCCTTGTAGTTAGATCAGTTTTTAACTTTGGTAAGTCCGAGCTTTTTTGACAAAATCCTAATAGTTACATTAAACAAAGTGAAGAGTTAAAAGCGTTTGTTGTTTTCTAGAAAAAACTGCCGGTATATTAAGTGCGTACTCCGCTTTTGAAACTTATCGCCTTTTCTCAGCATAAATTGGAAGCGATTACTCTCTACTAAATGTAGCTGTTAAACTGAAAATTCCATGTCAAAGTCGATTAACCATTATGTCAGAAGGGAGGAGTGGCAAGTCTCACCCAGTCTTTCTTCAAAACAAAGTAGAAGTAATGTAAAATCAAACTTTAAGACTGACAGTTTTTCAGCTTAAAATACACTAAATAAAACGATGTTTTTTCGGCCTGAGGCATCGAATTCTGTACGATACCTGACCAGATTTTACAACTTAAACTCACCAGATTCGAAGCAAAAATCAACGGCCTGCTCGGTGCGGAGAGTATGATTTTAACCCAATAGCTTTCGGTCAGCTTGGCGTCTAGAATTCAGTTCCTTATTTAGACGCACCGTTAAAGGTCTGACGTATGAAAGGGCAAAGACCTGAAAGACTCCTATCAAGAGATATTAGTAAACACTGTACAGCCGAATACACATAAAGAATTTTGCCAAGGGCAATTCGCTTAACTTCTGCTAGCCAGAGCACTTACTTCGTCCTCGAAAACCCCTGTATATTGAGATAAGAAATAGTTATTTGATGTTTACGTAAAATGTTTCCTGAAAAAAAAAAAAAATGAAATTAATGAAATCAACATGCCCATGCTGCTAGGCACGTGGTTAATAGTGTTTCCGAATTTAAGTAAAATTGAATACTTAGAGGGCAATTTGACGGATATTTTTTTAAGTTGTTTTCAATTTGACTTTAAATTTTAGAAAAGATCTTCCCTCAAATTAATGCAGTTATCGCCAATATTTGGAAAAGTCTTGTTTTCTTTCGCGGCTTGGCAGCAAATAGTTATTTATACGCCTTATGATGAAGTGAATAGGTTGCTATTTTTAAACTTTGTCTCAGGTAAAGGGTCACTCGCCCACCTGAACTATCTTCCTGGGCGAGCCAACGTTTCCTACATTTCCTTTAAAAACTTCTAGCGAGCCGTTGAAAGGAAAAAAAGAAAGTTGGCTCGGCTAGAAGGATGACTTACCTAGAACTTACACCGTGGAAAACCCACATTTAGCCTGGCGCTTTCCCCCCCGATTGTCCAAAGGTTTCGCTCCGCACTCCAGTCCCAAGTTTAACTTGCATGCGAAAAAACCGTTCTTTTTTTTAAAAAATCCAGTGGTCGAAATAACGCTAAAAATGCTTTTCAATACACATTTAAAAATTAAACAGGCCCCTGTTGTTCGAAAGATGGATAACGCTATCCACCGGATAAATCACTATCCAGTGGATAGTGCAATTGGTTTCTGTAATGTTTATCCGCTGGATGGTGGTTTATCAGGCCCCAGTTGTTCGAAAAGTGATTGGATTTATCAGGATAGCGCAATTGGTTATCGTAACGTTTTTATTCGAACAACCGGGGATAACCCTAGGTTTGAAAAACCGGGGTCAGGACAATACGGTACGATAAACAGAAGAAGAAAAGAACGAATATATTCGCCGCAGACACAGCTTGAGTGGCACTATCCGAATTTGGCGAGAGCTAATGCGAGATTCGTATTTCTAGTTATTATTGTCATCACTATTTTTTGTTATTGTCGTTTCGCCGCGCAGATCGCACACGCTATTTTCTGGCCCCCAAGAACTTGGGTAACCTGTGGCTCTTTTCTTTTCCTTGTTTCCAGGTTCTCGCGTCACCCCTGGGGGGAAAATATGGCGGACTGCAGAAGCACTTGATGTATTAAAAAAGTGCATTGTAATTTACCATCACGAATCCGAATTTCTTTGATAAAACAGCATGAAATTTTAGCTAATATGGAACTCGAGTGTGGGGATTATTATCTTGGTAGAAGAGATACGAGTAAGTTTCTATTTAAACTTATGTAAGCTTTATGTCTTTATAAGTTTTATGACTTTTTTTGTCTTATTTTTTAATGCGTTTATTCGGCTGGTGCACGATATACTAAGTGAATAGCAAGACTCACGTCACAAAGAACACAACAATGATCCTTAGCCCTTACACAATAACACAATAAACTTCACACAATAGAACCAGACAATGGTGCATATTTTGACTTGGTTTATCGAGCATCCCCTTTTGTTCGTTAACTGGCCCTCGTGCAGCATTTTCTAATCTATGTAAGCCAGTTTAAGGGTATAAAGAAAAAGAAATTTTTATTACAATAATTCCTTTTGCTATTAATTTTATTATTTTTTTATACCCTCACACTAAGCTTAATAATTAAGCTTAATTAAGTATGAAAACAAAAGGGAATTGACTGAAAGCTTGTAGAGAGCATAAGAATGCATAATCACGCATAATCGACCACTACTTTTAGAATACTAAACTTGATCTTAATTATAAGTTGCCCTTGTCTTCAAGACCTTGACGACCAATTAAAGTGTACAAAAGTGCTCATCCAAAGCAGTGACTAAATTTAGACTTGAGAAGTTATGCTTTTAGGTGACAACAATTCCAAACCAAGGAAGGCTTCTTTTGTTAAGTTCTGAGACATTGAAAGGTAGAACTGTTTTTATTATATGACTGCTTCTAAGAATAGAGGCCAGATAAATTGCAACCTGTGTTCTGATTGGGGTGTTTTTTACCCAAAAAAGAAGACTTAAGTCCTAGTATCCTATAGACTAAAACTAAGACCTTGTGAAAGAGAAGGCCTTGTCTCTAGTCGGTACTTCCAAGCATGCTGTTGACCAGGTGTAGAGACATTGTTTTGCAGGTTTTTCATTAAGAATTAATTCTAGTAACAATGGAGAAAGGTGTAACATTACAGGAGAATATTTTGAACAAGGCTCCATGTCTAAATAGAAAATTAATAGTTATAGGCTACTGAATGTTTGCCGGAGAATTCTACTCAGTAAACGGAGAATTCCCCGATCTCTGATGCCTAATGAACACCCTGTTTTGGAGTGATGTAATTTTGATATCAGGACCTGATACTAATATGATACTGGCATTGACCATATAGAAATGTCAAATACAAAGATAGCCTGTGCAACAGATGAAACTAAACTCTGATTCAGTCCATCTGCGAAACAGCACCGAAATCCTTGTTCTGGGTCCCCACCTGTGTACTAAGATTTGTGTACGTGCCTGTCATGATTGACCTGTTAAAAAAGCCATTGTTGATTTGTCAATCCGGTTGAAAGGAGATTCGAAATGCATTTCCGATGATGTGTCGAGTCCATTGGTGCTGCTTCGCAGACGTTACTAACCAAGGTTAAATTACGTCTGCGACACAGGCTAATACAGAAAAAGCTCTTTCCCGGACACATTGCTCTTAATTGCACTGACAAATTGTTTTTGTTAGTCACCTTTCAACATCACCTCAAATAACGAAATCCAGTGAAAATATAAAACTCAGCATGTAAAACAAACAAACCTTGCTTAAATGAAACGTGAAATGTACACTGTACTTTTACCTAAGTAATGTATAACATCAACTTCTATTCATGTGCCATTGGATTTATGTTTTAATTGTAGAGCAACATGAAATTCTAGTTAAAATTGGTTTTAATGTTGGATGATTCTCACTTTCATTTGTTTCCTAATCTTAATTGTTTATGATCATACTATATAATATTAGGCCTAAAATAGAAAGGAAATTGAGATTCAACACAGGTTGAAACCATTTTATCCTGAATTTCATTATGGCCTTCAACATGTGTTTTTGCCATAACTAAATGATTTTTCACACACTGATTGGTCAAGAGCCATATGGTCGATAAGAGTCTGAGCATGGAAATGATATAATGGTGGGGCAGTTTGTTGTTCTCTTTTTTGTGCACGTGATTTTTCGAGAAACTTTAATGGAAATGGGCGTCACAATGTCAGTGTTATTGCCAAAAAACAAATCAACAACAATTTTCCATGGTTTGTACTCTTATCAGGGCTTCTGATATTTCGCGCGGTCGTGGACCCGCAAAATTCAGGTATTTCCATGAAATCCTGTGAAATTCCCCAAAAAACGCGAAATACCGCGAAATCCGCCAGAAATATTTCCAAATACATTCAGCAAAACATATTTAATACTTATCTTGGCTATTAGACCTGTTTTATTCACCCCAAACGTCCAAATTTATCTTGAAACTTCATAACTGCAACGAGTAAACAATGTCCCAAAACTACCAGGCGTTTTTAGATGAACGTTGCGAAAAACTGGGCACTAACCATAATGTTAATAGCTTTAACATTCGCTCATTTCTCGAGCGAACTGTTGTTGAAAGAGCAATTAAATGATTATCCCTCTGTTAAAAAAACGTTAAACAACACTGGTCATATCGACACAAAATTGATTGATTTTAGCGAAATTTGCCAAAAAAAATCCAGTGAAATCGCCTGTTTTTTACTGATTGTTTCTTGGTGAAGTTTCCCCCCAAAATTTCCAGTATAATCGGCCGATTTTTCTAAGAATTTGCCCCAGAAAATCCTTCGAAATTTGACTTTTTTCTGCTAAACTCCCGCGAAGTGGGCCGATTTTTCTGTGAATTTTGACTTTTCTCCAGCGAAAATCCCACGAAATCAGCCGATTTTTTCACAAATTTTGACTTTTTTCCTGCAAAAATCCCGCGAAATTGGCGATTTTTCCACGAATTTGCCCCTGAAAATCCCGCGAAAGTTTGCTTTTTTTTTCCATGAAATATGAGAAACCCTGTCTTATAGACCACAGAAATGTCATCAAAATTTTCCAAACTTTCCCATGAAACCACTTGCCTATCTGCTCGTGGTTCCACTTGTTGTCAATTTGTTAAATTCACCATAGGCAATGAGAGCAATACATAATGGTTGCATGCCTTTGACCTGTTTAAAAGTGCTTGTGATAATTTTCCTGTGAAAACCCAAGTACTATGAAGTTCAAATGTTTGTATTTTAATGCTTGTAGCAAGTCTTCTTGACCCTGAACCATCTGATGACATGAACAGCCACTTGGTGGAACAGCTTGAGCTCGTTCAACCTCAGTTTGTTAATGGGTAAGTTATATCAATCAACATCAAATTAAATTAAAAACAATTAAACCTTGAAGTACTTGTGATAAATAAACACCTGATGACTGGTCCCTAAGGAGACAGTTAATTTTGCTTGGATCCTGAGAATCTCAAGCGGAGCCGAGCTGAGTTATACAGCCCATGAAGAAAAACTTTTTTGTGTACAAATTTATGCAAATAAATCTCGTAAACAGTCAACATTTGCGGGTAACAGTACACTGTTACCCTTGTCGTAGATTTTGCAATGTTACCTGTTTAGAGATTTTGGCGGGAAACAGTTTCATTGTTTAGGTGTCATGTTACCTGAGAGCACACACTGTTGGGAAAAGATTTTCAGCCATTATAACCATAATTGTTGTTGTGTTAAAGATGAGATCAATAACACTAATATTCTTCTGATACCATAAGGGATTTAGGAGGGCTTATAAACAGAGGGGCTTTTATCCAAGGGGGCTTTTAACCAGAATAGAAAAGGTTTTGAAACAAACTATAGAAGTGCTGATTGATCAAATTACTTTTTTGCATTTACTGGTCTTCAAAGCTTCAAAAGGTCATTGCATTTCCACTGGGTGTGTGAAAATTTTGGAAATTCTGAAGGGGAAGGGGGCGGGGTGTATCTTAGGGGCTGATTTTTGGAAAATCCAGAGGGGAGGGGGGGTCATGCGGCAAATCCCTTCCCTGGGAGTGGTTTGGATATTTTCTGGAACCACACATTATAAGTCAAATTTATTTCAAAAAAAGCTGGAAGGGGGATTTATATCTGTGTATTTTTTTGTTTACTGGTAGATCACGGACTCATAATAATTGGGAGGGGTTATATGTTGGGGGGCTTATAATCGGTAGTGTGCGGGTGTCCCATAAAGCACATTGACACTATCGCCTGATAAAGACCAGCAGGAAGTGGTCAAAATGCAATGATGGAATTGCTCATTAATTAATAGTATCCGTGAAATTAAAAGTTGTAGATTCACCTTGAAGAAAAAAAACCATAAAAAATATTTCATGCAAACATTTATCTCAATCTAACTTTTAGAAAGACCAGAAACACTGCATTATAAAAACATAGCCTACAATGCAGACACTCTAAACCCCTGTATAGAGCATCTGCGAATTAGTGCGTAATATCGTTTTTGAATCTCACAGAGTCGCAAGGACATATGTAGGCAGTTTTGTTCGGCTAGTTTCCTACACAGTTTGTGATTATTAGCACTAACCTCGTGAAAGATACATGTACCCAATATTTATGAAATAAATTTATCTGTTATATGTATCGGCGGTAAATTAACAGTAATACATTTCTCACAGTGGTACGTTCTGTTTTTTATTAGTTCTTGTTGCTCAGAGAGTTCATTTATTTACCTGGTAGCAGCAGCTGGTGTAGCTGCAGTTGGTGGAGTTCTCTTTGGTTATGACATCGGTATGAAATTTTTTTGCGTTAGTTGTTCAGACCTGCCTTCTTTCATAATTCTGCTGTGAGTGTCAAAGTCCAAATCTGACATTTTGTTGCATGATTATGTATCTCTTATAAACAAGAAAGAGTTGAACTTCTTAGTAGCATGGGTAGAGGTCGGCCGAAAGGACTGCTCCCACCCCATTTTCTGTGAAATTTTCTGTCATCTTTAAAGAATTCTCAGTAAAATAGATAGATTCAGTTTTCTGAATTCAAAATAGTATGCCAGTTAGTTTCTACAAAAAATTTTTAGAGATCTGTTTGTGGATTTCCTGCAGGCATTGTGTCAGGTGCAATTCTTCAGTTAAGGAGTGAATTTCAGCTGGACTGCATCAAACAGGAGATGGTTGTCAGTTCAATGCTGATGGGTGCTGTGTTAGCATCTTTATCTGGAGGTACGTCCCCTCAAGCATCATTATATTGTACAGTGGAAACTCTCCTGATGGACATTCTCATAAGCAGCAGGGGTTTCAATGAAAATTGAAGTAGCCAGCAGGTTTGAATAGAGTAACCAACTGTATCAACAAGAGGCCAGTGGTTCACATTTTTAAGGGGTGTCTGGAGGCATGCTTCCTCAGAATCAGATTCAGATTTCCAGCATTCAAGGGAATAAACTTAGTATAAAAGAGCAAGTTTTCCGTTCAAGAAGATTTGGCTTTAAGTCAAATTTTGATTTATTAGCCACACAATTAACACCCACAAGCAATAAACAAAATGATAATTATTAACGGACATTTTTACGTGAAAAAATTCTATTTTTGTCCATGGCATTATTCAAACTAGTTGCTTCTTCTTAGAGGGAAAAAAGTAGCCAACTTCTCTGAGCAATGTAGCCAACGCCTTTCGTCTGTTGTCAGTGCTTTACTGAAACTCCTGTAAGTGGATATTATTATAGCTCTACTAACAGCTACCTTCACAAAACCCTGTTTGTCTCAACTCCCATACAAACTCGGTACTTTTACTTTCTTGTAAGTGACCAGCCCCAGTGAGGACACCTTTTTCACATCCCGAGGGTGTCCAGTTACAAGCACTTTCACTGTATCTCTCTCATTTTGTAATTTACTCAGGGTTCTCATTACATTTTAAAGTAAACAGAGCTAGGATGCAAAAGAAGGTGGATTGTCAATCGACTGCAGAAGGCAAATTAATTTTTGAAACTTTTCCTTACTTTTCCGTTTATATTATTCACTGCAAATCATTATTTTGTTTTCTTAGGATTTATTGTGGATTATGTGGGAAGACGTATGGCAATCATCATTAATTCTGTTTTGTTTCTTGTTGGAGCAATAATATTAGCATTGGCACCTTCGTTTGCAGTACTTGTGAGTCTTTAACAGTCTGCTTAAAATTTATTATTATTATTATTATTAGTATTATTGTGATGCTAATGTACTCATGAGGCTCATATCTCATTCTGAATATGATGTAGATGAACGTATTAGACACTCATTTGCTTTCCCTTCCATACCCATTCCCACAACCCATGACAGATAGATGCAAGTCTGTCTGCTTTTGGTTCTACAGCTGTATTTCCCTTTGTTTTCTGTAACAGCAGCTACCGATATGCTCATAATACCCGGGGGAAATTCCCTTCCCCTGGCCCTTGGTGACACTCAACCCTGACTAAATCATTTATGGTAACAATTTTACAGTTTGTAGGTCGTTTCATTGTTGGATTTGGTGTCTCGTTGTCAGCCATTGCTGAATGTATCTACATCTCTGAGATAGCTCCTGCAGTGAGTACAGTTATTATGTCTTCAACCCCCTCAGAGAGAGTATCATTCTTTATTTTACGTTTGTATCAATATGAATATCTACTTTAATGAGACCTCAGCTGCCCAGCTTGACTATGTTTATTGATATTTTAGCATAAAATAAAGGTTAATGTTGGCAAGCAACAACTATTGAGCCTGCATCGCTACTGCGGTTTATCCCAAACACGCGATCTCCTTATTTGGCAGCCTTCCTCTTTGTCTTATTCTGCGCCAGTCCGTTCAATCGCCACTTTCTTTGAAGGCTGCAAGTTGAGCAGCACCAAAGTTTTTTCAGCACCAAAGTTTTTCATGGATCTTTCAGGCGTTACGAACGAGGTCCTTCGCCTTTTACTGGCCCAAAACCAGCTTGCTATCTCGGGAACACGCGAACGGACGATCGAACGCCTGGGCACGATCAATGTTGATGCGCCAACATCACGTACACGAAGCTCCGATTCCGCCGACCCAGCAGCCAAAAGGCCTCGCACGAACACCGATTCTTCTCCTGTCGCCCCTAACCTACCCGGTGACGTTGAGCAGCCCAACGAGGAAGGCGATTTACCGAGCGCTCGGAATGATGAACAAGATCCGCCGCAGGCTGAGAGACTTCAAAGACGCGATACCGAACTAACCACGTGCGAAGCACAAGATGGCGTCCGCGACAGGGGCGTTCCGCCTAACCCCGTCTCAAATCCAGCGGCTCTAGCCACCCTCATCGCCACCATAGTCGATGAAAAGCTAAAAAATTTCGCATCAACGAACCCATCACCCGTACCACAACAGCCAGCACATTCAGTTCCCCAACCTCCAGCGCGACAACAACTATCTGACCCTGCTTTCGTCGCGAGCCTTCTTTCACAATCGGGTTCCTCGAACTACGGCCCATCTCAGTCCCGAATGCAGCCAGCTTCCTCATCCATCGCAGCCCACGTCCCCCAGAAGACTCGGCAACTAATCCTACGCGGTGAGTTTGTTGAATTCGATTCTTTGCTGCCAGAAAACTCCTGCCTAAACGAAAGCGAACTCCCCGGGGTGTCCATTTCGTTCGAGGGGAAACAAGTTAATATTCCCACCCCTGCCCGCAAGAAGAAAACCCACATTGACTCAATCGATAGGTGGCTTTCGGCCTTTGCTGTTTTTTGTACAATCTTTCTGACTTCCTTCCCCCACAGGGCTGTCTAGATGTTTGCTTACCAAGAGATCATCCGCTCGGCCTACCGTAAGTTCGCGGGATTTGCATGGCTCTCCTACGATATAGACTTTCGTAGGAATGCAGCCGCCCACCATTCCCTTAATTGGGGGGAAAGGGATATACAATTGTACCTCCTGAAATTTACAGGACAGGCAAAATCCTCTTGCACCATATGTGGTAGTGGGGATCATTTTTCTCATTGGTGTTCCCTCTCTGCCCTTAGGCCCAATCCTACCCAACGAGGAACGTGTAACAATTACAACAGAGGTGCCAAATGCAGCCAGGACCCCTGCTCCTTCAGCCACCGCTGCAGGGTCTGCAATGGAGAACACCCTGCCTACCGACACGATGACACCCCTTCAAAAACTAGAGGCCAGGGTGATAAGAAACTCTCAAACCGTTAAAGCCGCCATATCATACAAACCCCAAACCCCGGTGAATGTTCCCCTGCTACACAAACTTCTTAAGACTCACCCTAATCAAGCTTTTGTAACTAGACTTTGCGATGGGTTAAGCCATGGTTTCCACTTGGGTTACAAAGGTAACCGCTTCCCCAGAGCTGCCAAGAATCTCCCATCTGCCATCCAACAACCCCAAGTTATTGAGAAAAACCTGCTAGAGGAAGTCCAGCTTGGTCGCCTGGCTGGCCCCTTTGAATCCCCCCCTTTTCAAAATTTTCAAATTCATCCCCTCGGCCTAGTCCCCAAAAAGGGAAGCCAAAAGTGGCGCACTATTTTCCACCTATCCTACCCCAAGGGGTCCCCGGATAGCTTAAATGCTAACATACCCATTGAGGATTACACCCTTCAGTATATTCGGATTGACGATGCCATTGCCCTGGTCCTCAACCACGGCCCCGGGTGCTTTATGACAAAAACTGACATACAGTCCGCTTTTCGAATTATCCCCGTTCACCCCGGGGATTGGGAACTCTTGGGGATGTCCTGGAAGGGTCGTTATTACTTCGACAAAGCCCTCCCCTTCGGGCTAAGGAGTGCCCCTTTTCTCTTTAATCAACTCGCTGATGCCCTGGAATGGTTGGTCAGACAACACCTGAACATCCCCTCCATCATACACATTCTCGACGATTTTTTCATTGTTCAACCTGCCCCCTCGTCCCTTTGTGCCACAGCCCTCTGCCGGGTTCTTACCCTCTTTGAGGAATTAAACATTCCCCTTGCCCCACAGAAAACCTTTCGCCCCACCCAAGTTCTTGAATTCATGGGAATAACACTCGATTCCGTAAACATGCAGGCTCGTCTCCCCGAGGATAAGTTAAGTAATGCCCGGTCCCTACTAGCGGACTGGTCTTCCAAACGGGTCTGTCGTCTACAGGACCTGCAGTCCGTCATTGGGACTCTGCAGTTCGCCTGCCGGGTTATTTCCCCTGGTCGCCCTTTCATGCAGCGCATCATTAACCTTACCCGGGGTTGTGCCCGCCCCAAGCGGATTATTTTTCTCACCCAGGAGTTCAGAAAGGACATCCTCATGTGGCAATTTTTCCTCGACCACTGGAATGGTGTTAGCCTTTTTCTGCCCCCTTACACAGAATCATCCCCACAAATCCATTTATATACAGACGCAGCGGGTGCAGTCGGATACGGGGCCTTCTTTGACAATCAGTGGTTCCAGGGAAAATGGCTCCCCTCCCACCAGCTCAACCCCTCCACAGGGATAAGTATTACCTGGCAAGAGCTTTACCCAATTTACCTTGCCTGCATGATTTGGGGGCCCCATTGGGCTAACAGGAGAATTTGTTTTCATTGTGACAACCAGGCAGTCGTCGCAGTTTTGTCTGCTAAAAGCTCAAAAATTCCCCGCATCATGAACCTTGTCCGTTTGATCACCTTTCAAACTTTGAAGTTTAATTTTACCTTTACCGCAAAGCACGTCCCAGGGGTCGACAACGGCATAGCTGATAGTCTATCTCGCTTTCAGATGCCCCGGTTCCACCAACTCGCACCAGATGCATCGCCCGTTTCCTGTCCAATCCCTCCTTTCCTGACGAAAGTCTAACTATGCAGGCTGCTCACTACATTTTCCAGTCCATCGCCAGCTCTACTCGTCGAACCTATTCCTCTGGGGAGCGACACTTTATTAGATTTTGCCTTTTTCATAAACTCATTTCACCCCAAACCCCTTTTCTCCCTACCAGTGAATCAACCTTAATTCATTTCGTCACCCACTTATCCAATACCGTTTCGTATGGCACTATTAAAGTTTATCTGGCAGCAGTTAAGAATCTCCATGTTGAGTTTGGCTGTCCCCTGGACTTCTCCTCCATGCCCTTCCTATACAAGACCCTTCGAGGGATCAAATCCTCCCTCGGTATTGCCAAACGGGCCCGGTTCCCTATTACTATTTCGATCCTCCGCCAAATTTATGCCAAACTAAAACCTTTCCAATCGTTGGACACAGATTCTTCAATGTTGTGGGCTGCTTTTACCCTTGCGTTCTTTGGCTTTCTACGTAGTAGCGAATTCACCACAACGGCAAGTTCAATATTCAATCCCACCTGACAAGATCGGACGTCCACTTTTACCCCAACATTGTCCAACCTGTGTCTTTCGAGGTTGTCATCAAGAAGTCCAAAACAGACCCCTTCCGTGAGACAGCCAAGCTCACTATCGCCTAATCAAACTCTACTGTATGTGCAGTCACCGCGTTAAGAGACTATCTGCTTCAAACTAATCCCAGTGGAGCTACCCAGCCCCTCTTCCAATTCTCGGATGGACGACATCTTACTCGGTCCTCCCTCACCAACAACTTACGGGCTCTTCTCAAGGTTTGTGGATTGGATAGTACCTGCTATGCATCACACAGTTTCCGCATTGGAGCAGCCACTACTGCGGGGGCTGCTGGCCTTCCAGACTGGCTCATTAAAGTTCTTGGCCGTTGGAAATCTGATGCATATCAGTCGTACATCAGGACACCCAAAGAAACCATTCTCCAAGTCCCTCAAAATTTGGCCTCCTGTCTATCCAGTTAATGACTCGAAAACAATTAGATGTCACATCGCAATGACTATTGTCCACGCTTCCTTGGCTTTGGGAACACTGTTATGCTGCTCTATACTGTTTATCACGAACATTCTTATGTTGCGTAAAAAAAAAAAAAAACAACAAAAAAAAAAAAAAAAAAAAAAAACCCAAACAACATGGGAACACTACGGTGTCTCTTTGTATTGTTTATTGAGAACACTATGACGTCTCATTGTAACACAATTGAGAACACTGTGTCCTACTAGAACATTCATTAAGTCATGCTACCCAAGTTTAGTTTCGGTTGGGTTCTTAAGTTAGAACGCGATCATACCCGCTTGTCCACTCCTCAATCCCCTTTCTCCACCGATGGTCTCTGGTTCATTTCATTCCCCCGTGGAGCGGATAAGAGCTGTATCCAGCCCTCGCGACCAGGTGGAGAAAGGGTCTTAGAGACTGGGGCTTTACACAGGGCACTTCTCGTATTACTCGGCGTTTTGGGCGGGGAATTGCTGCCTGCGGCACCCCTTCAGCCCTGTGCTGAAGCCCCGTCAGGGAGGGGGGGCTATAGGATTTGCTGGACTTGGTTAACTTGGCCCAAGGACATTATGCCGGCCATGCGTTTTCACGCGTGAACTATGCCCCCCCTTGCAGTACAGGCATGAGGCACCCCCTCGGTATGGCGCCATGTACCGAGGCCCCTCATTCGGTCATCATCCGGTCGGTGGGTTTTATCCGAGCCTTGCGGGTATATTCCCTGCCCAACTTTGCCCACCAAAGAATATTGTGTTTTCTCTGCGTCTGCGCGCTGTAACATTAATGGCTCTTTGGGCGTGTTTGATTGCCTTTATTCCGGAATGACATTATAGGGAATAAACCTTAAAAATCACTCATTTTGGCAGTCATTGCTTTGCAATAGCTAGAAATCTGCTTGAAATAAAATATCCTGGGCCCAGCTGTTCGAACGCGGGTTAGCGCTAACCCAGGATTAAATTTTAACCCGGGCTTCTTTTTCTTTTCATCAAAAGCACTCTTTCGGACAATTTTCTCTATTCTTTTTAGAGTATCCAATCATCAAATTGTAGGCAAAGAGAATTAAACTGAATATTTTTTTTAAGCTCTCGTATCGGAGTTCAAATTTCCCACTATCCCAGCTTCGAACAACCCGGCCCTAATGTATGTAGCGTTCAAGTGGCCCAAAAATCACCGTACTAGAGATCTGCAAGAACACTGTTGCGTATTCTTATTCAGGAATCCGATCAATGGAATGCACACTTTATGTTGTCTCTGTAAAAGAAACCGTAAGAAATAAGTACTTGAACCTTAATGAAATGCATTAATCAAGTAAGGATCTTGTGTGACTTTGTGAAGATTCAGAGCTTTTAGGCTCCTAACCCGTTTTTTCTTGGTGCACAGCCTTGTGTTTACTATGTGACTGTGTGGTGAAATTAATGGCTTCAGTAACAGGCACCAAGAAAATTTTGTCTGGCTTGTTTTTCGCGTTTATGGCCTCCATAAAACCTGAATTTGGAATTTTCATGTTGTAGAAAAGCTTAGTTTTGCTCATTACCTTATTAGATGAAATTTTGGTGACACGTTAATTTAGCAATTTTGAAAATCCTTATTTAGCGGCACTTTAATTTAGCGATTTTTCGTATATGTTGGGACATAAGTCACTTAATTTTCACAATTTCACGAACTGAAACCATGGCGAATTAAGGTGTTCAAAACTTTTATGACGACAATAGAACATTTATGTGATAAAATCATAAACGTCAATAGCTTCATTTAAATCAAAATCACTGTGACGACGTTCTGAAACTTAATTTTGAACGAAACAAACGAAACTGCAACGGTAATGTCATATCTTTATGCTGTCCTCATTCATATTTAAGGTAGTGCGTGAAACTGACCAAAATAATGGCGGCGGAATTCCATATCGTTCTCACCTTAATTTGGCGACACGAGTTTTGGGACGATTTTTCTAAATTTGCTAAATTTAAGTGTCGCCAAAATTTTATGCAATAAGTTAAAACAAGTGCTTTTGTGACATTCTTGTGGCTGTTACCTAAGATCCAGCTAATGTATGTCCAACATTTTTTCTGGTTTGCCCAACTATAATGGCGACCTGTGTTGTCCTTTCTTAAAAGTAAAATCATTATTTGTAGCAGTGATAATTTAGAGCCCAGGACAGGCTAGTCATGAATAGTCTTCAGAGAAAGAACAATTTTTTAAACATTGATTTGTTCACCCTGCATTTTTGTTACAGAATAAAAGAGGCCTTTTAGTTTCCTTCAATGAAGTGGGAATCTGCCTTGGAATCCTTCTGGCTTACTCAGTCAATGTGTGGTTCATTGATTTGCCATCTGGTTGGTAAGTCGGCATGAATACTGTACCCTAAATTGTAACAACTTGATTCCTGGCCAGAGGGTTAGAATGCTGGCCTCAGTAACCCTTGTTATCAGAAAGTCCATGAAATTATCTGACTTGTCATTTTGTGGGCCTCCAAAAATGTGTGGTTAAAAACGTTCTAAGCCCAGGGGCTCTTGCCACATGAAGGGTTATTGGAAATTCCCAGGTAGGAGGGAAAGGGCCAACAGCTAGAAGTTATTAAGAAATGTTTGAAGCTAAACTGGTATTTCAAAAGGGGTGGGGGACTCAAAACGAAAATATTGAGTTTACTCAATAGGACGGTAGGAAGAAGAATACGGCAAAACGCTTGTATGTGACGAACGTGACAGGGTTATAACATGTGTGTTTTGTCGTGGTCTTCGCTTAACATCAATGTTTTCTGGTCTTGTAGGAAAATATCTGTTTAACGGAGGGTGAAGTTCGGCGGAAATTTTTTCAAACAAAATTATTGTCACCCTTGTCACACAAGGTTTGCCGTCTTCTTTCCTCTCCCGTCCTGTTGCGTAAGTTCAATATTGTCTCCATGGAGACTACTGCATGAATATTTTCCGGAACAGCCAAGGGTCTCAACAGTTTTACTGTGTTATTTTTTGTACAATGTAGGCGCTACATGTTTGGCCTGTCAGGTGTACCAGCCCTCATTCAAGGTGTCGGCATGTTCTTTTTACCTCACAGTCCTAGGTGGCTTATAGTGAATGGACAAGATGAAAAGGTGCTAATAATATTTTTGTAACAATAAAAAAAGATAATGATAACATGTAGCACCAGTTTACAGGAGAGATTCAGGGGCACCCAACGACAATTTTTGGAAAATATCTGTTCGGAAGACGATTTGCCTCTCCTAGGATTTTCGAACATCTAAAAAATGGTATAATTGCCAATTTTTAACGGATTTTTAGCCTAAAAAGGTCATCTATAATTTTTGGGAGCCTTTTTTCTGGCTGAAATTTTCGAAAAGGTAAGTTTTGATCCCTATAATTTTCGGATCACTAGACTTTCAGCTAGGAAATCCGAACAGATGAAAAATTTTTAGGGGATAAAAATATGCCTATATCTACCGTTTAGATACTAAAATACGTTCAACAATGCTATGTTTAAGTGGTTTTGAACTATATTCTCGTTGGGTGCCCCTGGAGATTAATACAAGAGTTTAATCTGTTGGTTTTGTTGACTTCAAGGCGTGTAGGATGATTCAGAAGCTTCGCTGGTCAGATGATCCGTACGAGGAGTTGTCAAAAATCAAATCTGGGCTCAATGTGGAATATGTATGTGCTTTACTTGCTAGTAATAACCAAAGGTTACAGAGTGCAAACGAGATCTATGTAAAAGCTCTCGCTACAGCGCTGTGCTTTGCGTGAGAGAAGGTCAAACTCGCCTGACCAGATTACGAGTGGTCATAAAGGTCGAAATGCGCGTGATTGCTGACTAAATACGTGCCGCACATGTAATAGCAACCTGGAGATTAGGGGAGCTTTCCATTCAACCAAAACTTTCGAACATTTGGAAACAGCGGCAAATGGTCCGGAATTTTTCGGAAAAGTTTCCATAAATTCTGGAAACCTGTTAATTTCCGAAATACGAACCATTCAACTGAAAATTCAAGAAATTCCGCGGCAAAAGTTGAATGAAAAGAAAACTTCCGGGAAAAAGGTTTTGAAAATTTGTGTATGCCTTGTGAGGTTGTCCTCTTTTTGGGAAATTTTGGAAAATGCTGTTCCATTTACTACTTGAAGTTGCCGAAAATTCAAACCGGACTTTTTGGTTGAATAGAATGCGCCCTAGGATTGCCGGCTCCCCCGGTCACCCACAAAACACCTGCTACAATATTTCACAATCACTCCAAACACCGCAACGCTCAACATTTCCAATAAACAGCTTTGAATACACTCTTTTTTAAATATATATAAGAATATAATTATTTGATAAGAATATCGGGGCTGAAATTTGTGAAATTTTAAGAATATTTTAAGAATAAGCTCGAGGCTGAGATTTCGAAAGGGATATTATATTGAGTGTTGAAAATGTGAAAAATATGTTTTCAACTTGACCGCAAAAAATTATTGCTAATGACAGTTGTATGAACGGTACATGAAATACATATCTATAGTATTCAGCAGAGTAGAAATGAACAAACAGCAAAAAGAATATGATAGTTTTTTTTTTCTTTTTCAAATATAATTTAAGAATAACATAAGGATGTGTTCAGGCTAAAATCTACAGCAGAAAAATAATATTTAGCCTGGGCCGGAATGACAATATTCTTTTAAAAAAAACCCACTGTTATGTATGGAACATAAAGAAAAACCAGCCTTTGAAAAATGAAAAACAGTTCAATTATTCTTCTCTTGTTTAAAGCAAAGGTATCCATGTTTTAAATTCATGAAAGCTGCAACACGGACCTGGGAGTTCAAGGCTTATGAGTAGAATTGCTGATGTTTGATTGTATTTTTTCCTAGCGATATAAATTCACCGACCTTATAAGCCGTTTGGATAACATGAGAAGTAGAATGTTCATTGGTTGTGGAGTAGTATTTCTACAACAGGTATGAATGGAAAGTAAAATATTGGTTTATTTGTTATAAACTTAGCTTTTTAGGGGCGTTCGAAATGTTGTCCTGAAAATGTACAGAAGTGGTAGCAGTAACTTTAACTTGGCCTGTAGTTCACTCTCTTAAAAGGACTTTTACTCCCGTTCTCGTTTCACAGATCACTTTCTTTATTGGCTCTCTCAGGGAAAAAATCGCTTTCTCTGTTACGCGATGTACACTGTAATCTTTTCGCAAATTCTTTATTCTTCAGTATGCTTTGCCTCAAATCAAGGATGCTGACATTACACGAGTTGCCTTGGTCATTAATAATCTACCTGGAGGAAAAGTTGAAGTTGCTTTACCATTGTTGCTCATTTGCTTTAAATGATCACCTGCTCTGACCACCCGACATTTTTTTATGGGGGAGGGGGGAGGGGGGAGGGGAAGGGAGGCAAAAGAAAGTCTAATACGCACTGTGACCCATCCTTACGAGAGAGATGTAAGCTAAGGGATTTTGTCTGTCACGAAAACATTCTGGGATTGTTTGGGTAGACAATTTAACCAAAGATTGGCTACTGCTTGCTGCCTTTATATATCGTCGACCAGTCATAACTAGTGAACTTAAGCAACAGGACGGGAGAGTAAAGAAGACGGCAAGCCATCTGTGACAAGCGTGACATTAATTTTGTTTGAAATAACTTTTCGCCAAACTTCACTTTCCTTTAAACAGATATTTTTGTAAAAACCACGACAAAACACGCAAGTAATTTATGGCCCTGTCACGTTTGTCACACACAGGCGTCTTGCCGTCCTCTTCTTCCTTCCGTCCTGTTGCGTAAACTCACTGCTATTGCTTGTACACCCAAATGAATAATCCTAGCAGTCACTGCACCGGCCAAAACTTGTCCTCATTCTCCCAGTAGTTTATGAGCGGCGAATTGTAATTGGAGGTGATTTCTTTTTGTACGAAAAGGCGAGCGACTTCGTGCGTCATAGCGATGACCGCTGGACTGTTTCATGATCAGTTCACAGTACTGCTGCCGTCAAGGATTTGTCAGCAGTACTTACTGCGCATTTATTCTTCTTAGTTCACAGGGCAACCAACCATTGTGTACTATGCTTCTACCATCTTTCAAGCGCTTGGATTTCAAAGTGGTGAGAAAGCTACACTCGCCAGCTTAGGGATAGGTCTTGCTAAGGTATGAAATTCAACTTACAATTGTTTATTACTTTGCGTGGAATAAGCATATAAGGAAAACAACCGTGCAAGTGTCGTGTTGTAATAGCAATACAAAAGAATGCAATGAAATGTTAAACATTTGCTGACATACAGGGTCCCAGGGCTGCTACACTGTCTGTTGTTATGTATTTCAACCAAGTAGCTGCTTTTCAGTCTAAACAGAATGATTCTATTTCGACTGAGTGGTGATGTTGTTGCTTAATTTAATCCGCGGTTAAAATTTCATATTCCGTTATTTCAAGCTCATCATTATTCATTTAATATCTTCCCCACCCCCAAAAGAGAAAATTAAACTTCAATCGAGGAAAAGTTATGTTCTCCTCTGCCTGCCACCGGTTTCCCGCGGTTTACTCGAATCACACGCTTCATTTTTCCTTCGTGAATCGCTGTGTTCTAATTGGTATACTGTTGGCTTCAACTGTTCGTGTGAATGGCTACATGTGAGCATGTGACTGATTGTGAGTGAGGTCCATGCCTTACCACATCTGCCAAAATGGTAATTTTTGCTTTCTTCTTTCTTACAGCTCTTTGCAACAATTATTTCTCTCAGCAGTGTAGATAAAGGCGGTGCGTATGCTTTTCTTGTCACTTTTTGTCAATGGTTTTGGCTAAAAAATTTTAGAGACAACTTTTTCAGTCTTTTTTGCTCTTTTTGTAGGTCGCCGCCGTTTCCTGCTCATAGGTGTTTCAATCATGACCGTCAGCATATTAACATTGGGCATCATTGCTCACTACGCATCGTTAGGAGAGCCTCAAAGAAAATGCTATTATAATTCAACTGCACTGCCATCTTCACGGATACATTCCCTATCTAGTATGGCACCCACCACTTCTACTCGAGCTATGTCGACCATTTTAACAAATTCTTCAACATTTTACTCTCCGACAAACTTTACTTGGTCTGTGCTCGACACGACTGTATCCAAACCAATGTTAGCTAGCAAAGGTCTGCGGTATTTAACACTCAGTGCTCTTGTTCTGTTTGTCGCGGCCTACTCATTTAGTTTTGGTCCAGGTAAGCTTGTCCACTGAAATGAACGTTCTGTCACTGATATTATTGTGGAAAATTTCGGCTGGTTTTGATGTGATAATAGGGAGCTTAAGCAACGATGAGGACGACGCTGGCGAAAACTTCCCTTGAAAAGTGAATTTACGCTGTTTCAAAATTCATCGCTCTTATTCCATGTCGTTTAACCCTTTCACTGTTTGTCAAAATTTGTCAAACATTTGGTCGAAATTTTTTTGGCCACATTTGGCAGTGAAAGGGTTAATTTGTCAAACATTTGTGATTTTTTTGGAGTTGAATTCTAAAGGCTGTATCTAACTTAAAAAAAATAAGAAAATGAAAATCGTTATCTCACGTGTTCACGTCCTCCACAAAACGTTAAATTAGGCAGTGTCACGTCGTGGTCGTGCAAAGACGGCCTAAAAAAGTACGAAAAAGGGTGATGCACGCGTACGTTCTCGTTGCCGTTATCGTCATCGTATGTTTTCTTAAGCCCCCTAATATCACATTCACACCAAGTAAACATGTTTTAACATTTAATTAAAATTAAACCAGGTTTAGAAAATGAAATCCAGTACCGGAAAATTGGAACACAATGGAAAGATGGCTCAAAACCTTGATATCTGTACCCTCTTATACCACCCCGAACAAAGGAAAGTTTCCCCCCGTAACATTGCCACTCAGTTATTTCAGGATAACAAGAACTTCACCCTGCCGGCAGAGCTTTTCTGTCTCTTGCTCGATTTTTTTCAGGGAAAGACGCTGCATGAATTGAGTAAGAACTTTTTTGAGCATGTGCAACATGTTGACAGGATAGAGTTACGAACTCAGGCCAAATAACCATGCGCTTGCTATAGAGGGCTCTATTATGACCATTGGCTTATCGATAAACTGATGCTTGCAGTAAAACAAAAAAACCGGTTTGGCGAAGGAAAACAAGATTGACTAGTCTAGAAGTTCGGGCTGCGGTGATTTCAAAGGCTTGATGCGATTCAGGCAGAGCTTCCTTTTCTCCTCTCGCGACAAAAGGTAGACTACAAGACGTCCCCATTCTCCCTCAGGGATAGTAGAGCGAGCGAAACGCGAGCACGCGTGAAAATCACCCCACGCGAGAAAGGCGAGACGCGGCGGGGAGAGAGAAAAATGCCGCGTCTCGCCTTTCTCGCGTGGGGTGATTTTCACGCGCCCTCGCGTTTCGCTCGCTCTACCATCCTTGAGGGGGGTGGGGAACTACTCGTAGTCTAGACAAAAGGAGGCTCTGCTCGCAGGGTGTAAGAACCTGTAACGCGCGTTAAACTACCTCGAACCAAGTCAAGTCCCTCTTTGTTCAGTTTATTACACAAAACACCTACTCCACCATAGTTTAAATCCATTATTTCTGAAATACTGACATGGTGTGTCCAGATGTCGGGTTCCTGAAATGATAACTTAGGACCGATTTTCCCGACATATCGGTAAATTCCGTCAGATGTACGAGAAACAGAAAACCCCCTTATGGCGGTCTGACACCATGCTTGATATTTTAAATATTTTTTTACGCGCTCCTCTTTTGGACATTTAATTTTCCAATTTTAAGGTTTATGTCCACTGTGTATTATTTTATATTCGTATTTAATCGAAAGGTGTGTCTCTCGGAGTTTAAAATGACGCCGCTTGGCGATACCCTTATTTCAGTTTCTAAAGAGTGTTTATCGTAGGAAGCAGCTAATTGTGGCAATAGTCCAGTTTCGAGTTCGCTATGAACACTAAATAAAAAAAGTGAAGACGCATTTTTTATAGGCTGAGCCTCATTTGAAGTAAATATATTCTCCAACGAGAAAAAGACCTCTTTATTACTCTGTCTATGTGTATTTTCAAATTTCAAACACTTACTTGCCGGAATTTTTGAATATTTTACTCTATGTCGAGGCTAACCCTGTATGAATGTGTCGTTCAGGTTTGTATTCAGGGGTGATTTTTAATTCGAAACTGAACTATTGCTCAGGTTTAGGTAGCGGGAGAGACTGCGTCGTTGTTGTGCCGAATTGCACCATGGGACTGTTTTGGAGAACGGAATTTGACCCAGTTTCATTAGAGACCGTAAATACCGTAAATGTTTTAGTAGACGCCCTCTCTCAGATAAACACCTCTTGTCTCATAAACACTTGTATTAGACGCACTCTCTAACATACGCCCTCCATGACAATTACTCCAGAAAAGAAATAGCGAAATAGAGCGACATCATTCGATTTATTCAGTTTCTTGTTTGCGGTTTGCATCTTGTTCAATGTCAGGTTCAAAGGAAGGATTCTGACATCGAAGTTGAGCTTTAGGAAAACGATGTGGATCTCTCCAAACAGCCTTGGCTTATCAATGAATGGACTAGATAGTCTGCTGTCTATAAACTGTAACGATATAATCCCCGAAAGCATAGGTTATTTTTGTAGGGTTTGTTACAGTTATTAGAAGAAACGCCTCTCTCTTTTAAACCCCCGCGCTTGGGCGTCTTAAATTAAATAGACGCCTAGGGTATTTAGTAGATCATTTACGGTAGCCAATAAACAAAGCGATAGCGTCCCCAAAACAGTCTCATGTATACAGTTATACACAACATCGAACCAGAATGACGCGCAAAATAGCAAATAATATTATGTTGTTTTACAGTATCTTGGCTTCTGTTAAGTGAAATTTTTCCAGCTGGCATCAAAGGCAGGGCCTTCTCCATCGCCACCATACTCAACTGGGGAACGAACCTTATGGTGTCCCTTACATTTTTGGACATGCTCAGTAAGTACCTTTTTGATGATGACATTTCCCGCAATAAACTGAAACTAACTTCCAGTTGAGGCCCATTTGCCACTTTAGGGACGAGAAAGGAACTGTAGCCGATATGAGTCCCGAAATTGTTTCTAGGATGGTTACTGGGCATGCGCCGTTTAGCTATTGGCCAATCTGTTTCTTTGTCCCTTGTAACAGTCCCAGAAGTCTTTGTGAAAGTTAACTCGGTCCAGCTTCCCTCTCGTCTCTAAAGTGGTGAATTGCTAGACTGACCGTGTTTTGTTTATTTCTTCAGGCACTTTTGGAACTTCGTGGACCTTTATTTTCTATTCAGTAATATGTGTACTGGCTGTTATTTTCATTTACAAATACGTCCCTGAGACGAAAAACAGAACCTTAGAGCAAATCTCCGCAGAGCTCAGTACCAGGTAATTTACCAACAAAAAAGGTTACTTAATATCAGGAAAGGTTTGATGCAAGAATAGTTATGGAGAAGAGAAGTAATGACGTCACGAAAACTAAATTTGTAAAATTATGGGATAGATTGGCACACCCACACTCTAAATCAGAAAGATCTGTTTTAGCCCTAAAAATAGGGCCATTTCGGTGAGTAAAATACAGTCCTATTTTTGAGTCTAATTTGGCTCCCTTAAATCAGGGCCAATACAGTCCAATTAGCTAGGGCTGATTTGGTCCCAGGGCTGAAATGGGCCCTACCGTGAGGCTTTTTTGGCCTAAATTGTGCTCAAATGGCTTCAGGAAGGGCTGAATCAGACTTTGGCCTGCAGGGCTGAATTGACACTTTGGGGCTGAAGCAGATCTTTTTAATTTTCAGGGCAGATAAAACAAGATGGAAAATATGCAGTTACTAAAATTGAGCCTGTTGGTGCAAATTGGTGGGGAGATATGAGCACCATTATGTTCTGATGGCTCCGTGAAAATCCTTGTAAAATTAGATTGGATCGTAACGTTTGCGATCCGAGCCACGATCCAAGCCAATTTTCAAAGGATTTGTATGGAGTCATCAGAGCATAACTGTGCTTGTAATCTCCTCACCAATTTGCACCAACAGTCTGATTGTTGGAAAGAGGGCTTTTTTCACCTTGTTATTTCTGAGTATGCCAACAAATCCCATAATTTCACAAATTTAAATTTTTGTGACGTCACAATTCCCTTCTAATATCCCCTTTTAATACGATATCCGAAGAAAAATACAGTCAACTCTCTCTGCGTAAGCAACCACCCCTAGTACTATAATAATATAATAATAATGATCGTTTATTCAACCTTTTTGCAGCACTAAAAACTGAATTACAAGGCGGGTCATTAATTACATACAAATACCTCGGAATTATGACACGTAAATATAACTGTTAATGTTAAGAACATATCACGACAATATGGCGATCGTCTAGGGGAAAAAATCAAGAAAATAAGCTCAAACTGAACTGATTAACATAATTAAAAAAAGTTATTACCTTACGAGCTAAAACTTAGGCAAATAGACATCCAAACACTCAAAAACGTCGAGCGTTGTGTTACCGGGCAGGTTAGCCGGGATCCTGTCATCACAATATCGGGATCCCAGCTAACCGCCTGGGTTGCATCGGTGTTATAACCAATCACAAAGTCTGTTTTTGTTTCGTTCAAAGGGGCTGTATCACGGCTGTTCATAGTTCATTTTATTAGTAGGGACGTCCTTACGAAACTAGTGAGTTTACGCAACGGGACGGCAGAAACAAGCGGACGGCAAAACGCTTGTGTGTGACAAACGTGACAGGCCTATTACTTATGTGTTTTGTGGTGATTTTCACTTAAGTTAATGTTTTCTGGTCTTTTTGTAAAAGCAGGGCGACTTGGGATAATCGCGATTAAGTTTTTAAAGGATGCCAAGTCTATTTTTCAACAAAGTTTTCATGGACGTCGCCGTTGTCAGATCGTAAGGTCCCTATTATTAAGGCCAATTACTCGTCCGTATTCGAAATGACTTTGAATGACAAAATCACAACTTCGAGTCAAACAATTGTCTCCTATGCATTATATCGAACCTTACAAACAACAAAACTGAACTTTGAAAAACTGTTGGGCTAACAAGTTTTAAACATTTACAATTGCAATCTGTTTCAATCTTTTCCAGTTTTGTCAGTGCGTGCCTCCTTTTGTATTTTCTTCGTTATTTGTACCATCTTTTCATTTTTACGGCAGGGCGAGCACTAAAAGCCAGCCACGCCAACCGGTTCATCCAATCTTGCTCATGTAATGAGGCCCTAAGACCTTTATAATATTGTAAATTTCTTGGGAGTAAATTAGATCCTGGTCGTCATTGAGCTTTTACTCTGTTCACAGAAAACCACGAAAAATCCTGCCAAAGAAACTTAATTGCTGTGAGGGAAAAGGAAGGCGACGGCTAAGGGAGTTTAGCCGCAGCAGAACATCACACGGCAGTTCAACCAGTGACAAGCTTCTTGAGAATTACTGCTAGAATTGGACGTCAACTTACGCCTGCCTGTCCTTACAGTCTCACGGGGAGGGGGAGGGGATACCCTGCAAGGGAGGGGAAAGGAGTGCAACATATGCAGCTTGCTTTTGTCTCGGCGATAAGTTAACTAGTTTAGAGGCAACAAGTAGAGTTGCTTCAGCCAATAAAAATCTTGAAGTTTCTTTTGTTTAACATACGACAAAAAAATTGAAAAATAAATTTAAAGGCTTTGCTCTTAGCTTGGGTCACGCATTTGGTTACGCTCCAGAACCATTACAGTCTTATTATCTGATAGGACAAAATGTTGACAGCTGTATTCATGCCAAATGCAGCATCTTTTTTTACCGACATCTGAAGCGTAATTTTAAGTGTTTGAGTTTTAATTTTAGGTTCTTCCAATACTACCACAAAATAATAATAAAAGTTTCACTGTTATTCAACCAAAGCTTCTTTGATGGTTTGTTTATCCACCGCAGTTTGTAGTTAAGGAAAGCGTCTCATAAAGAAACGTGGTGTATTCATGTAAAAGCTGATTAAGAACTCGATAAAAGGAAATCGGCCCTATTTTTCGTTTAGGTCTTACCTCGAGACAAATATTGACCCTAGATATCACAACCTGTACCGAAGAGTATTGTGAATCATAAGAGCTACGGTATCTCAGGGTCTGACCATGGCCAATAACTTGGCAAAGGGGTGTGGTGAGATGGTTCAAGGATGTAGTTTGGGCAAGAATTCTTTGCCTAGCCTACTACTATGATTGCCTTTTTTCCCCTTCCCATCACTCCCTCCGTCCCTGCTTTAAGTGATCGCGAGCCACTGGGGACGAGGCAGAGAAAAGCGAGGAGGAAAAGGGGTGGGGAGATGTTGAATTGCATGAATTTTTTTTTGATTCGCCGCGAGCGGATGTTTTCAGTTACTTGATGCTTTTGTCCAATTTCAACGTGTTTTATTGGTTTGCAAATTGTGTTCAAACAAGGGCGATTCTTGAAGGCAGGAAAGGATAGCATTTCCAGAAGATTTGAGAAAGTACCAACCTCGTATTAGGCCTGGTTCAGAAACCGAACTTTTCATAAGCCGAACCAAATGTATATATATATACGTTGAATTCAGGTCGCGGTGGACACCTTGTATTGTCACATGTGGTTTCATTTTCACGTGAGCAGCAGTAAGAATGCATTTGAAATATGCAGAAATGTTAACTATTGTTGTCCACGATAATATGTAACTTGGAGACAATAATGGGGGCTCTCAATTTTCCGACAAAAAAATAGCGAATTGTGGCCCTGATCTTGAAACTCAAAGGCCGCATAAAACGACGTTTAATCTCGAGAATTTCATATTAAAAAAATGTATCTAGCGGTTTCTAAATAATTCGCTCATTTCAGTTTAAGTAGACCAAAATATTTACAAAGCCTAGGAATCAGCTAAAGCTATCTCCATTGATCTTTCACACACGTTTTTAAAAAGATTGAAGTTTCGTTTCAGGCTATAGTTACAAACAGACGAACATCAACATTGTCCAGTTTGTACCGTATTTGTTACCATAAAAACGTCATCCCAAAATATCTCGATATATCTCGATAACGCCCTTACAGTTTCCTCTTAAACTTCACGAACATTGAGGCGGCTGTTGAAGGGACAAAAAGGGTCCTGCGAACGATTTTGGAAGAAGAGTTCCCAGTGTCGAGAAATACGGCTGCAAGTAAAATAGGTAATGGCGTCAGTTCTTTGCTATGACAACTGCGATGTCATTGTAAGCCTGACCAAAACAATTTTCATTGTTATCTAATACAGCAGTAGTGGAAATGTTTCCCAATCTTTGTTAATAGCGACGTAGTTTATGCTCAAACTTGGGAGGTATTGACCCTCTGGACCCTGGCCACCTTAATTTTAGACAAGTTTGTTGTCTTACTTTTGGTGGGAGAAACCAGACCAGCGAGTTCTCCAACGCGTCCCCGGGAACAGTGTTGATATTTTTTATGACTTTCCTTGCGGTGTAGTAAACCTTCATGTGCCCGTAAATTTGTCGCAGAAGGTCATTCAATATAAATTTGACCATCGAATTGTCGCGGTACGCGACGTATTCTAGAAAACGGATCCGCTTTTATGGTTCAAGAATAACAGCACGAACACGATTTCATAAGGATTGTGAATATCAGTGAATATTCCACTTTGCTTGGTAGACGAGATAAAGGCCTATACACAATCCTTGCACTGTAAGAATGTGGTGAATGTAGGTTTGGAAAATATTAATATTTTCAATTGTAAGTCTTTTATAGAAATTAGTTTTCCTTATAGGTAAGTTTCTTTGAAATCTCTTCTAAAGGGTTTAAACAAATCTATCATGTCGTACCCGACAAAGTTAGATGAACTGGAAGTTGTTTGATCACAAGAGTTTGCCATTTTGCGGCAATTGTGCTTTTTGCTTTGAAAGGTCTCAGTGTATTTTGAATTAGCTTGAATTCGCTTTGCAAAGTCAACTTATAGCGAAGCGAAAGTTCACGTTCAGTCACCTAACGATGTAAATGTAACGTACCCGAACCATAAGAGGCTTATTGTCACTTGTAACCAAGAGTTCTTTTCAAAAAACAAAACAGAAACAATGTTCAGAAACATCGTGAACAATTTTAAAATTTATGATGAGTTGGGGCAGGTGCTGGAGATAAAGTTTAGGCAAAATTTTTTTTCCGGGGCTACCTCCCCTGTCAAAGCTGTGATATTGCTTCGATAAAAAATTTTATTTTCGTTACAGGTTGGTTTGCATGATATATTTCTGAGATCACCCAACCCTCATCTCAAAAATGAAATGGTTGGCCTTGCGGTCCCATCGATTACGATCTCTGTTGGCATGTAATCAAGGGATTATATTCCAATTCACTCATACCTAACATAACTTGATAAAAATAAAAATAATAATAATAATAATAATAACTCGAATATTTATAAAATCTGTGAAAATTATTGACTTATAAGACTGAAATGATTTAATTTGAAAAACTCCTTTAAATTAAAAAAGAAACCTAAAAATGCCCTGCAAACTTTCCCTGAACAAAACTGTCAAATTCGTACTAAATTTATTTGCAAATGAACTTTTTGAATTTGAATTTGAATTTCACTTTTTAATTTGAATTTAGCAAATCACTACTCTAATAACTTTGTTCACATCCCCTTACGGGGTTGTTTTGTGAGCAATTGCGTGTATTTATAAATATGTTACAATGTATAAACATAAAATTAACAAATTGTAAACGATTTCAGTTGACCTATAATGATAATAATAATCATCATCTGAATAACAACAACAACTACAACAACAATAATAATAATAATAATAATAATAATAATACATAATACAATAGTACATATATTTAAAATACTTCTAACTAAAAAGCCTACAAAGCTGTGTATTCACGTTTAATCAGTTTCATTATTAAAATAAGGTGATTATTTTGGTTCAACGAGTAGAATGTGCTTCCCCAATATCAAAGCCATTAAAGACACTGAAGATTTCATCTGAGACATTCGCCAAAGAAAATTTAATCAGATGAGTAATAATAAGATCCTCCGGCCCCATTCAGTTACGAACTGATGATACAAGCTCCAATCTCCATTTACTAAATGCCTTAGGCTGTTTAGTTTGAAAGTGTTTTCTTGATTTTCAAATTGAATTCAAACAAGGACCACAGTGATTCTTAAACTGAGCCAGATTTCGTTGGCTAGTGCAGTAATTTTTTGCAGAGGTTTTAAGAAAGTACATGTCAGTTTCGTCTGCGAAAGGAGAAGACAGATGATTACGAATTTCATTTCCCTGTCACCCATTTTGTTTTCTGGAATAAAATAAGCCCATTGCGTCATGTACCTTTTATTACATGACTTTTCAAGTTTTCTGCATTTTGTTTTCGGTAGGATGTCATCATACAAATTTTCCTAAAATAAATTATCCAATTATATCACGAACGTTTGATCACATGACTATATCCAAAGACTGCTATTTATTTAGTTGATACCCCCTTCGTATCGTCATATCAAGGTGTGGCTAAGACAAACAAGATCAAACAAGTATACTGGAAAGAATACCTGAGGACATTCTTCATCGAGAATACACTGAGGTAGGCTAAATAATCGACTTTGCTTGACTAGCATTAGTCTACTGAGATTTAATTTTATATTGATTGATTTTCCCATCTCTAGGATATTTTTGTACCCACCAGAAAAACAGTCAAGACAGGTTTTATTTTTTTCTCTCTCATCACTACGTTATTAACCATAAAACATTTGGTGATGGAGCTCTTGCCCATTCTGGGCAATTTATTTGGAGCGAACTTCCTCCCTGATCTGGAGATACGGTCAAGTCAAAATATTACAGTAACTGTTTTTGAATCGAAGAAAAAGAAACCCTTTTTTTTTTCACTAGCCTACAATTTGTCTTGATCTTACAATGTTTTTTAAAATATCTTTTACATGTAATTTTTGTGTAAAGCGCTTTAGAATATTTCTATAATTTTTTGCGCTATATAAATTAATGAATAAATAAATAAACAAATAATAATTAGTATTACTGTTGTTATTCCGTTTACCGCGAGAAGATCAAAAGACTCAAAAAAATTGAGGTGCGTTTACATGTTTTTATTTTTCCCATGTAGCACAGACCACTGAAAAACAACATGCTCCTGCATTCTTATTTTCGTCTTATTTTCCGTCTTCATAGACGTGCGGAAAAATGAATGCCAGATGAATTACTGGAAACGAGAAACTTGTCTTTGATCATGCATTTTGACATTAAATGTGTTTTCCGCATTAAGA